CTCTTCCTTCTTAGGAGAAAAACGACCTATTGTGAACAATGGTTCCTCCAATTCTTGATCAGAGCTTTCAGAGGGTCACATAGAGGCTTTCGCACTCTTGAAAACCTCTGAATCACCCGATTCAGTTTCAGATTCAGACTCAGAACCTTCATCAGTGGGTGTGGGTTGTTGTGGTTGCTTTTGACTATCCTCAGTCTCATCACCGTCATCAGGATAACATTGGAAAATTCCCACATTCTCCCCCCACTTTGCATTGTACTCAACACTTCTCGTGAGCTTAATCGTCTTAGAGTCAGTCATCATTATTCTGTAAGATCCTTTCTGATAACCTAGAAAGATACCATGCAATCCACGCTTGTCTAACTTGGAGTTTTGTGGTGAGCGAACCCACATGTCAGAACCAAAAATCTTCATGTGTTTGATGTATGGCTTCTTGCCAAACATCTTCTCATAGGGGGTACAACCAATCGCTGAAGATAATCTGCGATTGTAACTGTAAACAAAACACGAGAGAGATTCGGCCCAATAACTCTCTGGAAGATTGGCATCATGCAGCAAGGTCTTTAACCCTTGAAGCAATGTCTGATTTGCCTGCTCCGCAAGTCCATTCTGCCATGGCGAGCGAGGACTAGACAAATCGTGTTGAATTCCTTTCTCAGTCAGAAAAGCTTCAAACTGCTGAGAAGTGAATTCCCCGCGATCACTGAAAAGAGTCTTTATCTTCTTACCATGCACATTTTCCAACCAAGCACAGAATTCCTTGAACCTAGGAAAAGCCTCCGATTTCTGCTTGAGATTGTACACAAAAATATATCTAGAAAATGCATCAATGAGAACCATGAAGTATCTATTTCCACCTAAAGAGGGCGGTAGTGGTCCAACCAAATCAGCATGAACAACCTGGTATGGTTCTGTAGCTTTCCTACTAGACACCTTACCTTTCGCAGCCATTTTTACCTTGTTTGCTGCGCATGCTTTGCACTTCATGTGGTACCTGCAGGGTTTAATAGTCATACCTTCAACCAAGGCAGGCATTTTAGATACTGCCTCAAAATGCAAATGACCAAATTTTCGATGAAAATCGTGAATACATTCTGCATGCAAACTTTTGTTAGAACCTGCAATGCAACAAGTGTCATCCTGCACCACATCATCATAATACAAAACAAACAAATGATCAACATATTCTGCATGCAATACATAATCATTTTTCTTTGTGATGATGCACTTCTTGTTCTTGAAGGAAACGTCAATGTTCCGCTCATTCAGCTGTCCAACGCTGAGCAGATTATGTTTGGCGTCTGGCACGTAAAGCACATTCTGTATCGATAAGTCCAAACTGTGAAGAACAACAGTTCCGTAGCCTTTACTGGGAATAGTGTGGTCATCCGCCTGGTGAATCGCACCTTCCTGCGGTGTAAAAGACACAAACAGTTTCTTATCGTTGCACATGTGGTGGGTGGCCGCTGAATCAACAACGAAGAAAGATCTAGACGTCTTCTGGACCTCTGCAACCTTTGGAGTGAAGCGTGAAACCATAGCCTTGTGCTGCGTTGTCCTAGACACCGGACCTTTGCCTTTGCCTCGGCCTTTTCCGCGCGATGAGCTTCGCTGCGCTGCTCTGTCTTGGCCCTGGGATGTCTGCATTCCCTCTTCATATGGCCTAGACGTCCACACGAGTAGCATTTCACTGCCTTCAAAGCTTTGGCGCCATCTGGTGGTTCCACTGCACTATGGGATGACGTCTGTGAGGACTTCCCCTTGCCCATGCAGCTAGCACCCCGGCGATCTGCTTCATTTAAAATCACGGCAGTAAGAAAGTCCACTGTCAGCTGAGCAGTTGGTTGCACAGCAATCTGGGTTGCAACAGACTCCCAACCTGAACCCAAAGATTGTAGTATCATGAAAGAATACACAGCCTCTGGAAAGTTGAGTCCTCTCTGTTGCAGCTCATGTCTCAGATTTTGCATCTCCATCAAATGTAAACGCACATCTCCACCTTCAGCAAGAGCCATATTATGCAGCTTGTTAAAATAAAACATAGTGGATCCAGCTTCTGTCCTTAAGTGAGCCTCTCTCAGAGCGTCCCAAATTTCTCTGGCTGAGGTCTTATCACGCAATAGACAGAGCTCTTCTGGGGATACTATCAATGTAAGAGTTCCCTTGCTTTGGAATCCTTAGCTTCCCATGCATCTGTAACTGGAACTGGGGGGGTTCCTGTAATCACCTCAAACAAACCCTCTTTCCGCAGAATTGCCTCTGCATACAGAACCCAGTCGCTGTAATTTTTCTTGTTGAGCTTAGGAATCCCACAAGCATCCTGAAGGGCCATCATGACTCTAGCATTAGCCTTCAGCGTCATATGCTGCTTTAAATCTTGCTGCGTCACTGCTGCAGCTGCCTGATTACAAAGGCACACTTAAAAGTTACTTTCGATTTCCCCAGCATAGTGACTTGTGCCTGGGAGCCTTTTGCCTACTCCCGGCAAAACCGGCTTTAAAAGTTCAAAGTCCAGCCATAAAGCCATTATCTTGAAGCTGGCAGGCTGCCCGGAGCAGTAGCACATACCTCATCAATCACTTCTACGCGCAGAGCAGATTCCTTTCCGATCCGTCCCTCTGCATTCCGATCCTTTGCCGGCACTCCGATTCGACCTCTGGAGTCCATAACCACGTGTTGATTTAAGCAGAGTCTGGTTGCCAGCGGAAGGATGAGAAATACGTGATACATACTCTGTATAGCTTTATTTACAGTTCAAAGCTGGTATACTACAGAAAGACATCTTGCCTCTGCATGAGCAGAAAAATGCATCCTCTCTCCTCAACAGCTCGGAGAGAATCACACAGTGAAAAACAGGAAACCAGTGTACGTCACATCCAGTCTCCCTTTCCCGTGAGAAACTCCAACAGTACAGACTGTGGAATGTAAACAATGTCTTGTGACTGCAGTTGCTGCTCAGTGAGGGAAATAGAAACCAACAGACTCTAGGGTTGCGGCGCTCATCTCGCTTTATTGGCCGAGGGAGCTGGCGTACAGCTTCCGGGTCATGTGGCCAGCATGACTAAGCCGCTTCTGGTGAACCAGAGCAGTGCACGGAAACGCCGTTTACCTTCCCACCGGAGCGGTTCCTATTAATCTACTTGCACTCTGACGTGCTTTCAAACTGCTAGGTTGGCAGGAGCAGGGACCCAGCAACGGGAGCTCACCCCATCGCGGGGATTTGAACCGCTGACCTTCTGATCAGCAAGTCCTAGGCTCTGTGGTTTAACCCACAGCGCCACCCGCGACCCACTAAAATGGCACATAAAGGTAAAGGGGACCCCTGACCATTAGGTCCAGTCGTGACCGACTCTGGGGTTGCAGCACTCATCTCGCTTTATTGGCTGAGGGAGCCGGCGTAAATGGCACTTACTTTAGAGTAAATATCCATAAGAGTGAACTTTATTTTTCTGATCACATCCACACTGTACAACCAATGTATTGCCAGATTGCGCATATTGCAAAGATGCCAAAATTTAGAGAGGGGTTTGTTTCGCGGAAAAACATATGGTGTTCGTAAATTGGATTTTTGAAATTACCCATGTAATCCTACACATGCCCACCCCCTCAGAAGTAAGTCCTAATGGGCCTGGCTCCCATGAAGGAGGGCACAAGTCTGCAACTTTGATTATAACAAACATAGCTCAGTTGGTCAGAGTGTGGTGCTGATAACGCCAAGGTTGCAGGTTCAATCCCCTTATGGGACAGCTGCATATTCCTGCATTGCAGGGGGGTGGACTAGATGATTCTTAAGGTCCCTTCCAACTCTAAAAAAATCCTATGATTCTATAATTGTTACTTAATTTTGCATAGTAAGACTGTTTTCCTTGTTTTTGTATTCTATTTTGTATTGTATTGGGGCAAGGCAGGTGGGAGGAAGCCTTGCCTGATGGAGTCTCTCCCCTCACAGTTCTTCCTCCAGGACAGCTCCCTTGTGAGGACTCCTAGGGCCGGAGGGTGGGGCAAGTCAATAATTAAATGTATTATTTAAAGTGTTTGTTACAAATGGAGCTACAAGCTAGCATTGCTTTGATTTTGCCAAAGCAGCAGACGAAAAAACAGCTGAGGAGTAGTCTTTAAAATGAGAGGGTCGTTTATACTATCTGCTGAACTGAAATGGTAAAATGTTTACTGCATTATACCATTTTAAACAACAGCAGCTGTGTGTCAGGTGGAGGGTAGCAAACACACTCTGGTGTGTTTTTTGGTTAAAGGAAATCCCATGCACTTGGAGGGGGGGGGAAATGTCTGGGAGAAAGCTTGGATGAACTTTTCTTCTGGACATGCTAGTTAAACAAGTGCTTTCATTTGTCTGTTTGAAAAACAAGAGCAAATATTCAGGCATTCCATCCTGGAAGCTGCCATGGAAAGGCTTTTACTGCCTGATTCTGCTGCAGGTTGCGTGAACTTTTTCCCAGTGCGATTTTTCTGTTCAGCCAATTGATGAAGCCAGAGTTGTTATCTGTTCTCATCGGGTGCCGGTCCTCTTCTGCGAGACTGGAAGTACCGTATTTTTCGCTCTATAAGACGCACCAGACCACAAGACGCACCTAGTTTTTGGAGGAGGAAAACAAGAAAAAAACTATTCTGAATCTCAGAAGCCAGAACAGCAAGAGGGATCGCTGCACAGTGAAAGCAGCAATCCCTCTTGCTGTTCAGGCTTCTGGGATAGCTGTGCAGCCTGCATTCGCTCCATAAGACGCACACACATTTCCCCTTACTGTTTAGTGAGTCTTATAGAGCAAAAAATACGGTAACTCTTCTGCCGTCCATTCAAGAGGCCACCAGGTAATTCTTGAACGGGACAAATGCATGGGGGAAAACCCCCAGACGCAAGCGATACCAGTTGTGTGAGCTTTTTCTAAAAAGAAATAAATAAATTTGAGGATCCCCCCCCCAAAGTGGGTGGAGGAAGAGGGAAGAGAGCTGGGTGCATCAAAAGCGAACGTCATGGGTGTGCTACCCAATCTGAGGGAGGCAAAGAGAAGCGGGGGAGAGAATAAAAGGAGGTTGAGATGAGAAGGCAGTAACAGCAACAACCCTGAGCTGTCAACTCTGTCCTGAGGAATTCAGACAAGGGAGGAGATTGTAGGGATCATTAATCATTACGGTCTCTTTGAGCAGCTAACTTCTTAGAGTTTCAAGTCATAGTGGTACCTGAATCTGGTCATCCCTTTTGAGTTTGTTATTTTTTAAGCTCTGCTGTTCCCCCCTCCTCGTCTCTCAGAAGGAAGAGCTGCCCTGGGTCAACTGCCGCAGCTTCTCCACCATGTCTTTGGCAGGAACGAAATGCCTGGTGACCGGAGCTGGTGGATTCCTTGGTCAAAGGATCGTCTGCCAGTTGCTGGAGGAAGAGGAAGGACTGGCCGAGGTCCGCGCCACGGACAAAGCCCTCAGCCCTGAGACGCTCCAGCGCTTTGGAAGTAAGTTCCTCTGTGTTTGTTTTCTGAAGGGAGGGGAAGATCTGGAGTTTAGAGAAGATGTGCGAGGATCCAAATTGTAGGGTTATCTCATGGGGGGGGTCATTTCGGGACAGTGGCCTCACTTACTGAGGTGTTGCATGAGCTGAAACATTTCAGAACGCAGGTGGGAGCTTGCAGGATGCACATAGAAAAGTAGCGTGCTCAGGAAAGGAGTGTACTGGGATCCTTTGCCCTGACAGGCCACTTTTCTACCTGCAGGGAATGTGTTTTGTGCAGCAGGGGGTTTGCCCATCAGCAAGCAAGGTGCCTCAGGCCCCGTCCTTAAACTGTTGACATAGGAGGTGGCTCTTTAAAAGGCAAAAGGCCTGATATTTCTTCACTGGTTTAGTTTTCTGTTTGGGGATGGTTAAATGTGTTTCATGTTAATATTTTGACGGTGTGGGTTTTTTTAATGTGAGGGTCGTTGTCTGTTTTATATTGCTCTGTGATGGTAGAATGGGGTAGCAGCGGGGCAGCAGTTGTACTGTGGAACAGGAATACTTTGGCATAAGGTTGCAATTGTCTCTTCACAAACCTGGGCGTTCCCCGCAGACTGCCTTTAGCCTCGTCAGAAACACTGTCTCCGGCAAACACCTGAGTGGGCTGTACTTATCTGTGTCTGCGAGGAGATATAAAATCATGTCAGAGGGGTTCTGGCCAAGGGACCTTGTCATTATAGGTACTAAAAATCTTTCTCTTGCTTCATTATATAAGGGGCAGCACCAGATATAATGCATAAGGTCCTCTACTTCAGAACATCCCCTAATGCAAACACATTCGTTTTTTGGTATGCCTCTGTGTCTCCCATCTCTATAAGCAGAGTTTATTGTATTTAGTCGTAACTCTGTAAAAGCTTTCCGAAGTTGTGCAAAAGTCAATTCATTAAAATAAGATGTATGTTCATTGGGAGTGGGCTGTATCTCCACAACTTCCATGTATTCAGATGAACAAATGAAACAGGCTTCCACAACTGGAATTGAATGATGTCTCCCTTTTTACATGCTCAGCTGAATGTTCAGATGCTATGCGAGTTTTTCCTGCCTGTGTGCCTGTGCTGGGAGCAGGGCTGGTGGTCTCTAGATGGCAGGCATGTGTGGGCACCAATCCAGAGCGAAAAATTAAGACTGGGGCATTAGGTGTAAGGGCAACAAACTTAAACCTCAGAAGTTAGGTTTAAATAAGGGACAACTGTTCCTTTGGTTATTGTCCTAGGAAAAGCAGGAAGGACCTCCTGTGGCTGCTGTTCATATATTTCTCTATAGAGAAACCTTCAGTTTAAAAACTAATTGACTGACTTCAGAGCACTGGCAGACTAGTTTCCCATTGTCCCCTGAATATCCAGGATAGCAGCAGCAACATGCCTAGCAGTACAGTTCAGGAAATATTAAAAGGTTTTCTATAATTAACAAAAGCAACATTCAGTGTCTCTTTCAGATCCTCCATACAGGTCAATTACGGTCAGTTTGAGACCTTTTTGTTGTAGACAATTTGAGGTTCAGGGCGTTGACAATTTCTGTGTGTCTTTTCTCCTTTTCTGTGAAGTCGTACGTTTGTTAAAATCCAGGGCTTGTGTACTCAAAGGGGTGGTAGATGGCTGATGGAGGGCTCCGGGTGGTGGACAGGGTAATCTCGGTCTCCCAGAGTGAAAGGCTGGGAGGAGAAAGGAAGGATTTCGGATAAGAGCTGGGGGGGGGGGGCAGCTGCTACCTTCTGTGGGAGGTGGGGGCTGAGAATTGCCTTTAGGAGAGGACTCTGGCAACCATTTTGTGCGAGTCTGATTGATGTGTGACTGCTAATATGTGTGCCACTTTTGGCCACCAAAGGGGACAGAACAGGGTGGGGGTGTAATGGGCTTATGCATAACCGCTGACATGCACAATACTAGAACACAACCCCCATGTAAATAGGGAGTTGCCTGTATTTTTGGTAGTCCTTATCTTATTGTACAGTCGTACCTTGGATCCCGAACGCCTTGGTACTTGGACATTCTGGCTCCTGAATACTGCAAACCCAGAAGTGAGTGTTCCGGTTTCCAAACATTTTTTGGAACCCGAACGTCTGACGGGGGCTTCCTGCAGCCAATCAGAAGCCACGCTTTGGTTTCCGAATGTTTTGGAAGTTGAACGGACTTCCGGAACGGATTCCATTCAACTTCCAAGGTACAACTGTATCTGTATTGTGAAAAACTTTAATAAAAATCTTGTAACTGGTCAATATTGAGCTGTGGGAGGCAGCTTTCAGTGCCCCTATGGCTTCCAACTGAAAAGCTGCATGGGCACAGACTCCTTGGGATTACACAAAGGTCATGTTAGTCATGCAAGGAAAATGAGCTTTTAAGAAAAAGACCAATATTCAAAAAAGAGGCAGGCATCTTTCTGCCTTCTTCAGTGTGCAGTAGAGTGCTGAGACATCATGGACTCTGCTCCCCCCCCCCTTTTTTGGGACACATTGCCCACAAGGGCATCTCTTACTGATCGTGGGCAATTAGACACCCCCCCCCCCATTTTGAAAATACATACAATTGAACTGAAGAGAGATGTGTCATAATCCAGCACAGATTTAGAAAAGGCTTAAGTCGGCCAGAATCATTTACTTCTTATTGGCTCTAACATACAGTTTGCATATACACTATACCTCTAAAACACATCTTTTCCCTCAAAAGAATTCTGGGCGCAGAACTACCCAAACTTTATAGAAATTTATTTATGTATGTGACTACAGCAGCAATCATGTTTATTTGCTCAAAAATGGAAAGAAGAAGTCCTGACAAAAGAAGAATGGACACAAAAACTCGTGGAATATGCAGAAATGGCAAAACTTACCAGAAAAATAAGAAATCAAGATAACAAACTTTAAAAAAATGAATGGAAATGGCTTGTTGAATATTTACAAACAAACTAAACAATAAGAACATTGGCAGGAGTGTTGTAATAATCTGCCATTTTATAGGAGTATACATTTAAAGTAGATAACTAAATGGTTAATTCAGAATATGCAGAAAATATAAAAAATTTTAGGAACCACAGAAAGAGGGGGAAGGAAGTCGAGTTTTAAAAATGTTAAAATGATTGTAAAATTATTGAAATGTGTAAATAAAAGTTTTTTTAAAAAGGAATTCTGGGCACTGTAGTTTAGCTCTTGCAGAGTGACAATTCCCAGCAACTTTTAACAAACTACAGCACCCAGAATTCTTTGAGGGAAAGAATGTGCTTTCAAGGTATAGTATATACAGTGCCAGATTTACATATAAGCTAAACAAGCTATAGCTTAGGGCCCCACTCTTTTGGGGGCCCCCAAAAAATTTAAAGGGGAAAAAACCTGGATGTACATTTCCAAAATATAAGAAACAAATAAAATAAAACCACAAAACAGTGTTTTGTGTTGTGTTGTAGGCTCCTATGATGTAAGTAATGGGCCCTGCCTGCCAGTCCGCTCCCTAAAAAATCACTGGTTTGCTCATATAAAGGGCCCCATTACCTTCAGTAGCTTAGGGCCTCATCAAACCTAAATCCGACCCTGAGTATATACACAGCCAAAGTCTTGAGAAACATGTCGTTTTGGCTGCTCCTTGATATAGATTAAACCAGGGGTCTGCAACCTTTAAGACAAAAAGAGCCACTTGGACCCGTTTCCGAAGAAAAAAAAACTGGGAGCCGCAAAACTCGTCATTATAAAAATAACTTTTTTGGCACTTTTTAAAATTATTTCTTTGTTTGACCCCTCAGAATTACTCCTCCTCATAGAAATAAACGTTAAATTAACAAGTTACCTTTTTGTGTGTGTGTGTTCTTCACTCCCCTTCAAAACAGTGACCAGCGTACATGCCCCCTTTCAATGCAGTGACCAGCGTACATGCCCCTTACAATGTAGTGGGCGGGCGGGCGGGCGGGAAGGTGACGTTGGGACGGTGCGTGACTAACGCACGCACTGCCCCCATGCGATGTCACAGCCAGTACAGCGCCCGCCACAGTGGGGAGTGTCGGGGCGCACAATGCGCCTCCTCCCTCTCACTAGTATCCGCCCCGGAGCCGCGGCAAAGGTGTAAAAGAGCCACATGCGGCTCCAGAGCTGCGGGTTGCAGACCCCTGGATTAAACGGTAGGGATTCTCCTGCTCTTTAGTGAACCCATGGAGGCAAACAGCTGATCACCCCTTTATCTGATGTCATAATTTCCAGAAGTGAAGACTACAACTCCCCTGACAATCATCGAAGGGGATATCCGGGATGCAGCGTTCCTCCGCACGGCTACCCAAGGTGTCTCTCTTGTCATCCACACAGCTTGCATCATCGACGTCTTGGGATATATAGACAAACAGACACTCTGGGATGTCAACACGAAAGGTAAGACTGGGTTCTGCAGAGGGAAATCCGGGTGGGACACAATTGGAAAGGAACGTTGGCAAGACGATTGAAATGACCTCAGCAGGGTGATTTGTGCTGCTTATTCATCACCAAACCTTTTATTGGCATCACATACAAACATCCAAACCAAATCAATACAGAATTACCACTTCCCCAGTGGCACAAAACATTTGCTACAAGAAAGGAGGCAGAGAAGTCTATCATCACATCTCTAGGTCTCCAGGGAGATCAGACGTTTGCAGTGTATTTCGACGACAAAAAAACCAAATAGAGATATTTAGCCAGTAACTTGGTGAGCTCTTGATCATTCCCCAGTAATAGAAAATGTATGACCTCCAACTCTGGTTTCCATTTGGGGATGCAGAGTTGATCCGTGAGGGAGCCTTCCCAGACCCGCTGAAAGAGGCGGTTATTAAACCGCTTCTTAAAAAACCATCTTTAGATGCGGCCATGATGGCCAACTATCGCCCAGTCTCAAATCTTCCATTCTTGGGCAAGGTGATTGAGCGAGTGGTTGCTGAACAACTCCAGGCACGCCTGGAAGAAGCGGACCATTTGGATCCCTTCCAGTCGGGATTCAGGCCTCATCATGGGACTGAAACTGCCTTGGTCGCACTGGTTGATGATCTCCGGCAGGCTAGGGACAAAGGTGAGAGCTGTTTCCTGGTTCTGCTGGATCTCTCAGCGGCGTTTGATACCATCGACCATAACATCCTTCTGGACCGTCTAGAGGGGCTGGGAGCTGAGGGCACTGTCATACAGTGGTTCCGCTCCTTCCTCCTGGGCCATGTTCAGAAAGTGGTGGTGGGGGATGAGTTTTTAGACCCCTGGGCTCTCACTTGTGGGGTGCCTCAAGGTTCTGTCCTCTTCCCCATGCTTTTCAATATCTACATGCAGCCGCTGGGAGAGATCATCATGGGGTCTGGGCTGGGTGTTCATCAGTATGCGGATGATACCCAGCTCTACCTCTCTTTCAAATCAGAACCAGTGAAGGCGGTGAAGGTCCTGTGTGAGTGTCTGGAGGCAGTTGGAGGATGGATGGCGGCTAACAGATTGAGGTTGAATCCTGACAAGACAGAAGTACTGTTTTGGGGGGATGGGAGGCGGGCAGGTGTGGAGGATTCCCTGGTCCTGAATGGGGTAACTGTGCCCCTGAAGGACCAGGTGCACAGCCTGGGAGTCATTTTGGACTCACAGCTGTCCATGGAGGCACAGGTCAAATCTGTGTCCAGGGCAGCTGTTTACCAGCTCCATCTGGTACTTAGGCTGAGACCCTACCTGCCCGCGGACTGTCTCACCAGAGTGGTGCTTGCTCTAGTTATCTCCCGCTTGGACTACTGCAGTGCGCTCTACGTGGGGCTACCTTTGAAGGTGACCCGGAAACTACAACTAATCCAGAACGCGGCAGCTAGACTGGTGACTGGGAGCGGCCGCCGAGACCATATAACACTAGTCTTGAAAGACCTACATTGGCTCCCAGTACGTTTCCGAGCACAATTCAAAGTGTTGGTGCTGACCTTTAAAGCCCTAAACGGCCTCGGCCCAGTATATCTGAAGGAGTGTCTCCACCCCCATCGTTAAGCCCGGACACTGAGGTCCAGCACCGAGGGCCTTCTGGCGGTTCCCTCACTGTGAGAAGCCAGACAGAGGGCCTTCTCGGTGGTGGCGCCCTCCCTGTGGAACACCCTCCCACCAGATGTCAAAGAGAACAACAACTACCAGACTTTTAGATGACATCTGAAGGCAGCCCTGTTTAGGGAAGCTTTTAATGTTTGATGTATTACAGTATTTTAATATTTTTTTGGAAGCCGCCCAGAGTGGCTGGGGAAGCCAACCAGATGGGCGGAGTATAAATAAATTATTATTATTATTATTATTTAGAAATTGCTGGTGGAGATCAGCATATAGTTCACAATGAAGAACCATATGTTCTGCTTATTGAATATGTCTTTCCTTCACTGCTGACCAACCACAGCCTGTCCCCAGGGAGCTGAAATTCAGAGCAGGGAAGGTGGTTTCTGTTGCAGCAACAACAACCTCTGGGAGAGGGTGGCCTGGTATCACAAGCAATACACAAAGGCCAAATATTCAGTGTCCACCTTTTGCCATGAGTCCTCCTGCTTCCTAGGCCCCCTTCAGCTACCTGCTAATGTACTACAACACAATATAGCCTCTGCTGTCTCCTTTCCATGGCACTGTCAGGAATACACAGCCACACCCCAGCCTGTCAGAGCTGTTCTTGGGAAGCTAGTGACACAGAGCAGAATGAGGTAGGGATGCAGAGGCAGAGTCCTGAGATAGAATAGATTGTTCCACTTTACACTGCAGTTTCAGCTGCAGATGCTTAGTGCACAATGTTCTGCATTTAAACGTTGATATGAAATGATCCCATAAACCCACCGTCTATGTAAGAGTCTCCTGTTACAAAATGAGGGACTAGTCTGAAGTCAGTGGATTCTGGACAGGACTGCATGTTTGAATAACCACTTTTCTTTAAAAAGAAACCTCCCTGCATGTAGAAGACCAGTGCATCAGGGAGAATGGTTTAGTACAGGCCGTTCCCTGGTGTGTTTTAGTACACGTTGAGGGATTTTTATGCACACTGATGTACGTTATGCAGAATGAGTGGTAGGACAACACTGAACTGAAAAGGGGCTCAAATTAAGCCTCAGGTCAAAATTTCCAGAAATGTTGTGTAGTAAGTAGACCCACTTTAACGGATAAGCTGGGGAGGAGCTACAGAGGCTTTCAACTTCCTAGCAGGTGCCCCTCTCATAGAGAACACCTGCCACCTTACTTCATGCAGGCAGTTCTCTACAGGCCTGGCACAATGCAATGTGAGCTGGTGGGTTTGGGTCATCGCTAAAAATGGCAGAAGGCACATGTGTGAGAGAGGGCAGGGAAATGTTCTTTTCATTTTTCCACCTCTGGCAGCAAAACTTGAGCCAGCCTTGCTAACGTCTTTCTTTTTGGCAAAGGTACGCAGCTGCTACTGGATGCCTGCTTCCACAACAACGTCCAGTATTTTGTCTTCACCAGCAGCATTGAAGTGATGGGTCCAAACAGAAGAGGGGACCCCATTGTTGATGGCGATGAAGACACAGTGTACCACGATACCAGAAAATTTCCTTACGCTGAATCAAAGAGAGTAGCGGAGAAATTTGTGCAGCAGCTGGATGGCCAGCCGCTGAAAGATGGCAGCAGTCTTGTGACGTGCGCGTTGAGGTCCCCGTACATCTTTGGAGAAGGAAGTCCTTTCCTTCTGGGCCATCTCGATGAAAGCATCCAAAACAATAATGTCTTTATAAGGCTATCTAGGAAGGAGGCTCTCGTAAATCCCATCTACGTAGGGAACATTGCTTCGGCTCACATTCAAGTGGCGAAAGCCATGAGGGATCCAGAAAAGGTCAAGCGGATCCGAGGAAAATTCTATTACATCACAGATGACACTCCCCACATGAGCTATTCAGACTTAAATTACGAGCTGAGCAAGGAGCTGGGGTTTGGGATTGAACCCAAACTACCAATGCCCTTGACAATGTTCTATTACTATAGTCTGCTGCTGGAGATTGTGAGTTTCTTACTCCGGCCTTTTGCCAGATACATTCCCCGCATCAATACTCACCTTGTGACCTTGGTCAATACCCCTTTTAGCTTTTCTTCCAGAAAAGCTCGACGGGATTTTGGCTATGCACCTCGCTACAAATGGGAAGAAGCCAAGGAGCTTACAAGCCAGTGGATTGCCAAAGTAGCTCCACTGAGAAGGGCCTACCTGAAAAACAAGACCCTCTAAAGTTGACCTCTGTGGCAGGATGAAGAGGAGGCAGGAAGTAAGGAGGGTGGGAATCAGCCGGGAGGCAACAGAGCAGCCAAAGTGTGGAACCCACTTTCTGTAATGCCTGAATGAAGTACAAGAACCCTTTTGTTCACTGTGGACATTAATGATCAAGCAGATCCCCGCAGAGTTCTTCACCAGCTCTCATGGGCCGCCATCTGCTCCTGTCACCATTCAAAACTGCAAGGACAGCAGTGATTTGTCACATACAGGTTACTTGCAGAGAAATGTTAATAATAGCAATGCATATATAAAATCAGCAGGACATGCGTGACCTGTGCAACAGGTGTTGTGTGGGGGGTTTTTTTAATTGAGTTTAATTGAGGGCCATTTTATAGAATCAGCATGATCAAGTGGCAATGGTTTTTGTGATAAGGGTGATGAGGTGTGCTGCCAAAAAAGGGCGGGTGAGGAAAAAATACATTCTTAAAGAATATGGTGCAAAGAAGGGTTTGGCCTGGTTCTCGTCTCAGTTTCCTATTTTTCTCTAGTACGGTCCATAAAATAGTTACCACCTGATCCTGCTGATTCTATACTCTGGCCCCCAAGTCATGCCAGCTAACAAATTCTTCTACCCTACGGTGCCTCTTCACCCTGGGGACTGTATAGAGTGCAAGATTTTCACTGTCCCGTTAAGTGCATCTGAACACTTTCCAGATACCCAAATGCAATTTCAACCAGAAATCCAAGCACAGGTTAAAAATGGAAGAATAGGTAACTCTTTTTTATATTAAAAAAACCCCAAGGTTTTATTTCAGAGAAAAGTAAACATTGTTAACATGTTCAAAGGGTCTTCCATTTCCTCTCCCCACCCCACCAGGTTCAGCTGAGCCCCTAGAGCAGCATGCGTATACATATAATTTTTTTGAAGAAAACATCAATGCAATCAGGGGAGACATTGCGTGAAAGACGAAGGGGAATTTTCCCACCTGCAGATGAAAAAGGGAGGGGTTTCCAAATTCACCATTGGGAATCAACTACACAACACAGCATGCCTTCCACTCGCTAAACAAGGACAAACAAAGTGTTCCTCTCACTTACTGCACATCAGCTGAGGTCTTGGTGACTGCATCCCTACAGGTCCAAAGTTCCCATTCTTTGTTGAACTCTGCTTCCCTAACCCAGCTCACCAATCCATCAACTATACTCACTCACTTCCCCAAATTACCTGACTTGCAACTTCCAGCCTCCCTCCCTGTTGCTTGGGGAAGCGCCGCCCTACTGGCTTTTGCCCCAGGGCCACACAAGTCCTTCCACGTAAATTTGGCTAGGCTTTCCAGACACACACGCCGCCCATAGTTTAAACACTGACTTGGCAAGCAACGGTTTACACACAGCAAACATGTTTCCTACTTAAAGTACAGCTCTGGCCTCTGTTCACTACAGTTAAAAACGCTACGTTTCTTAAGGTTCCTTCTTTATTTCATTTCCCCATGAAACTTAGAACATTCATTAGCTTTTATAGACAAGGCAGTCGTCCTCCCCCTGCTTCCCTATCCTATGTGAAGTCTGTGGTGTTGTACGAGGTGCGTCTTGTATCGGAAGCCTTTGCCGCACTCGGCACACTTGTAGGGTTTCTCCCCCATGTGGGTTTTCCGGTGCCTTGCGAGATGCGAACTCTGTATAAAGCCTTTTCCACATTCAACACATATATAGGGCTTTTCCCCTGTGTGCGTTCTCTGGTGCTGAGTCAGGGTTGAGAAATCGCTGAAGCTTTTCCCGCACTCGCTGCATTCAAAGGGTTTCTCTCCCGTGTGGGTTCTTTGGTGGTTCACAAGGTGCGAGTTCCGACTGAAGCATTTCCCACACTCGGGACAAAGGAAAGGCTTCTCTCCGGTATGGATTCTCCTATGTGTAAAAAGGTGAGAGCTCACCGTGAAGTTTTCCCCACATTCACTGCATATGTAGGGCTTCTCCCCCGTGTGAATTCTCTGGTGTTTAATAAGGTCAGAGCGCCAGCTGAAGCTCTTGCTACATTCAGTGCACTTATGAGGCTTCTCTCCCACTGGAGTGATCTCAGGTTGGACATTAAGGCTTGAATTATATTGGACGCTCCCCCCACCTTCGGTGTAACGAAAAGGTTCTACTCCCAAGGGAATCCCAGGTGGAGACACGATGTCCTGGAGGAGTCCCAGGCTACCACCTCGATCTGCAGATTCATTATGCTGCTGATCAGGACAATTGTCTTGCATCTGTTCATCTTCAATGGCTCCTCCATGACTTTGAGGAGCATTTTCTTCATTTTGTCTCAGTAGAAGCTCATCTTGCTGCACCTTCTCTGCATCATCTCCAGGAGGAATCTCTTCCTCGTACTCACTTGGGATCTCAGAGTTTCCTAGAAAGCAGAAGCATCAGATAGGAGGATTTAGACCAATAATATTAATAGTAGCCTGAAAAGTAGGTATGACATTCCCCCTGAGGACTTTAAGAATCCTACAGGCTAGGGCGGAATAACTAGAAGACACTTCATGGCATGACTTTGGGGAGATGGGTGTGAGGCAGGCACAGGCAAGTTAACAGCCAAGGAGAGAGGTAATTCATGCTGGCAATGACCCCATGAAGGTGAGAAGTGGGAAAGGGGGGGACTAATCCTTCCCCACCAAATAAACATGGATTTGAAACTGGAGTTGCCCAGTCTCCTCCCTGCCCAATCTTTCTCAGGGGAAGGGCCTGGCAGGAAGCGTATGCTGCTCAGTGCTGCCACTCGCCCACCCCAGTGTTGCCTCATAAGGAAAGCACAACTACACAATTGGCCACCTGAGACAAAGATGCAGAAGAGAGGAGGAAGGAGAAAGTGAGGACATCTATACAGTCATAACTCGGTTTACAGGCGCTTTGGGTTGCGCGATTTCGGGTTGCGCACTGGGCTGAACCCAGAAGTACCGGAATGGGTTACTTCTGGGTTTCGGCGCTTGCGCAGAAGCGCTAAATCACGCTTTGCACATGCACAGAAGCACCAAATCACAATCCGCGCGTATGTAGATGCAGCGCTGCAGGTTGCGGACGCTGTGGGTTGTGAACGTGCATCCCGCACGGATCACGTTTGCAACGCGAGCATCCACTGTACTGCCATTAGTGATGAAGATTAGTGAAGACCAGCTAGAAAGTGTGTTTCCAGCCACACCGTGCATAAAGCGAGACCAGGATGAGATATTTGATAGAAATATCTTTTTTTGGACTGTTCTAGCTCACCTATAAATTCTCTTTCTGTAGAACTGGAGAGCACAGATGCACACAGTTCTTCTACTGGTTCCATCCACAGATGTCACGCTGAGGAATCCTGTTCACGGCAAGACATATAGAAAGATAGGCAGACGATACTGCAAATGTCTGTAAAATCTCTTCCAAGTGCAATACATTAATCAAAATAACAAACCACACAACCCCTTCACTAGCACAGTAACAGAAACTTTACCCATCTCCCAGGTCAGAACCCACCTTCAACATGGCCATCTGAGCTCACTGCAAACCCATCTCCAACATGCACCTCTCTGAAATTATTGTTAGCAGTATTTATATGACACCATCCCTATACACGCTTCCTCAGATGAAGAGCGGTTCACCTCGTATCTTCAGAGAGAGAAAATAATCCGTTTATCCAATTTACACATGAAAACAATTAAACTTTCACCTGGTGCCTTCATGCAAAAACTGGAAAATTACTCAAGACCCTGAGTGCGCCGCTTTCGAATCTCCTCCACTTTGCCCCAAAGTCTGTTTAAAACAAAATACAGGGACAAGGGGGGAAATGAAAAATGTTATTATGCATCTTTACATTTCATAGCAGCAGAAGCTTGGGAGTAGATTGCAAGAATCTCCTCAGAAATACTTTTCCTGCCACTCCACTCCCCCCCATCAATGTTCTACATGAAGAACATGGAAATGCATGAGGATTTGTATACACAGCTCAAGGTCAAACAATACATGATATAACTGGTTCTGCTATAACTATATTCAGGCATCACACCAAAGCCATTGTTTGCTGTGATGTCTGAATGGACACGTCAAGGTTTGCAATCCATGAGCAAACCAGAATCAGTAACCACAGTTTGAAAGGAAGTTACAAGCCACAGCTGGTGCTAGTTGTGGCCTGGTTTCCACATCCCAAAAAGCCGGAGTATGGCTTACTGTGCGCGGGTGGCACTGTGGGTTAAGCCACAGAACCTAGGACTTGCCGATCAGAAGGTCGGCGGTTCGAATCCCCGCGATGGGGTGAGCTCCCATTGCTCGGTCCCAGCTCCCGCCGACCTAGCAGTTCGAAAGCACGTCAAAGTGCAAGTAGATAAATAGGTACCACTCCAGTGGGAAGGTAACGGCGTTTCCGTGCGCTGCTCTGGTTCGCCAGAAGTGGCTTAGTCATGCTGGCCACATGACCCGGAAGCTGTACGCCGGCTCCCTCGGCCAATAAAGCGAGATGAGTGGTGCAACCCCACCGTCGGTCACGACTGGACCTAATGGTCAGGGGTCCCTTTACCTTTTTATGGCTTACTGTGACCGCATAAATGCACTGGCTTCTTAAGAGCAGCTCCCTTTTACTTTGGCTCAGTTACAGATTGTGATGAGGAAGAGAGACTTGAACCACAATCAGCCTCATATGAAGCAAAACCTTTGCTTAACTGCTAAGCAGTTAAGCAGTGCTGAGCTGAAAAGCCTGTGAAGAAGCAATGTCGCACCAGTCTCCTTTCTAGAAGGTTAAGTAATATATTGTGCATTTCCACTAAACCATGGGTTTCACTTTGTGTGGTGTGCATATATGTCCAGCAATGTTGAAATTGAAAAACTAATTACAGGCATTGCTCAATCTATAAGGGCACCTGTACCCCACCCCAAATTGGTTTTTTCCCTTTTAAACTACGACTGTTGAGCAGATGGAAACAAAAGAAGGCTTGCAGCTCCTAATCATGGTTATTTCATGTGCCTGTAAACCCAAACCATGATTTGGGTTTGAAATAACAGTTTATGCAAACCCTTGTTTAGTGTACAGCAGTACCTCGGGTTAAGAACTTAATTTGTTCCGGAGGTCCGTTCTTAACCTGAGGTACCACTTTAGCTAATGGGGCCTCCCGCTGCCACTGCGCTGCCGCTGTGCGATTTCTGTTCTCATCCTGAAGCAAAGTTCTTAACCCGAGGTACTATTTCTGGGTTAGTGGAGTCTGTAACCTGAAGCGTCTGTAACCCGAAATGTCTGTAACCCGAGGTACCACTGTAATGGCTCTATGGAGCTGCTTATCTGCAATATGGCATTGGTAATAAACAAACAAACAAACAAACAAATAAATAAGATAGTATACTATTAATGCCTACTTTTATAATGATGAAAGATTTAATGGGATATTTTTATAGCAAATTTAACAACAAAAAATAAACAAATGGGGGGAAACAAGGCAAAAGAGAAAAAGAAAACATCAGCTCACATTAGTAATCCAGTAACCATCAATACAGCAATCTCAGTTTGAATATATGCGATGAGTAGTATTCAATTAGCACACCCCTTTAGTGCAAATATTTCTGCTTGGGCAATGGCGCCTGTCCCATGTGCACCCCATGCCCTCCCCAGATTTGCTCTGGAAGGTTGGGAGACCCCCTAGAACAGACTAGGGGGTGCCTGGGAGAAGAGAGGAAAACCCTTTTGTACAAGCAGATATCCTTGTGCTAACAGGATGGTTACTTTAGTGCTGCCTTGGCTACAACCATAAGTCAATATACACCGTCCAAATGTCCTGACAGATATCCAGACAAAATTGATGTTTATAAGAAATACGTTCAAATGTAGCAAGGCCCTTGAATCATTGTGTAATAGATAACTGGTGCTTGTCCTTCCAGGCTCTTGGAAAGCATAAGGCCTTGCAAAATCCACTTTTTCAGTCCTGCCATTACCACAGGAATATATTTTTAAAGTCATGGGCCCTGTAAACATCAAGGATTCGTTCGATACAAAATTAATGCAGACAGTAACCAAAAAGAAAATAAGACAAGACATGCGAACATTTTATGCCTCAAAATTATAAATTAACAGCAGTCTCTCAAAGAAGGTTTACAAATGAGTTTCTTTGCCTCCTCCTTACTTCTGTTTTTACCTTTCTCATAGCTTTCCAACATTGTTTTCACAAGACGGAAATGGGTTTTTAATGTTAAATCTAATTATTATTATTATTATTATTATTATTATTATTATTATTATTATATTTATTGAATTTATATACCGCCCTATACCTGAAGATCTCAGGGCAGTTCACAGAAAATATATTATATTATACATATTATTGTATGCCTTTTACCCTCAGCTATACATTTCTGGAGATACTTTGGGTGGAATTCAATATAGCATTTGTAGCAATGGATTTAGACACTAGGAGACAATATATTGTTTAGGTGTTATCCATCCTTTGCAGCTTAAACTTGAAAGCAAAGACAAGGTTTGTTTAACCTTCTACAATAATTACCAAGAATGCTTTTAGGCAGACTGGATTTTTCTGGTATTACCTCTTTTCTATCCTTTAAAACAATATTCTCCCAAATGTTGTTTTATAATCAATGCTATTTACATGCAGAGGTCAAAACTTTGGCCTATTCTTGTCCACATTGGGCTCATTTTGCCACATCCTAGGCACCTAGGGACGCAGGTGGCACTGTGGGTTAAACCACAGAGCCTAGGGCTTGCCGATCAGAAGGTTGGCGGTTCAAATCCCCGCAATGGGGTGAGCTCCCATTGCTCGGTCCCTGCTCCTGCCAACCTAGCAGTTCGAAAGCACGTCAAAGTGCAAGTAGATAAATAGGTACCGCTCCAAGGGGAAGGTAAACGGCGTTTCTGTGCGCTGCTCTGGTTCGCCAGAAGCAGCTTAGTCATGCTGGCCACATGACCCGGAAGCTGTACGCCGGCTCCCTCGGCCAATAAAGCAAGATGACCCCACCGTCGGTCACGACTGGACCTAATGGTCAGGGGTCCCTTTACCTTTACCTAGGCACCTAGAACCCTAGGAAACCACAAAGCCCTTTTCAAAGTGCCAGACTTCAAGAGAGCTTTGGGTAATGCATAGGGAAAGACCATACATTCTTTATCTGATGATAACAGGCGTACAAGGTTGGAATGGACACATCTTACCAAGTGCCAAAGAATTTCAAATCTGGCAGCGTCCTCATTTATCACACCGTCAACTTTTGCCATCTGGAAATGAATCAGCAATGTTTTAGTCTTTTCCTGGATGACTCAGAAAAACGTAGGAAATGAGCCGAGAACAAGATGGTTCTAGGCAGCTAACAGAATCCCCCCCCCCTTCACACAAATGTGCTATTAAAATATAGATATCCTTCGGAAAAGTGGGGGCAGAAATGGAACCGTGCTTCCACTAGGCCTGAATTTGGGGCTCCTCCTGCTCTCATTCCACTGAGCTGGAGAAATTATTTCTTTGGCCTAAAGTCCATTGCTAACCATTTGCAATCTTTGTCACCTTTATGAATTGTTTGTTCGCTTTATGTAACAGAAATCGTTTCATGTCCTCTGCAAAGCTGGCCACTTCACTGCTCTGCCCGAATTCCAGTTCATTTTATGAACACGTTAAAAAGCAACAGTCTAAAGACAGTTCTATGGGGACACGATGCCTTACTTCTCTCCTTTGTAAAAGCTCATATTTAATCTGGAAAGATGCAGGAACTGGAGGTCAAGGAAGAGAAGACCATGGAGTTCTAAACACTCATGATTTATTGCATTGGATTAAAAAAAATTGAAATTGTGGCGATTAGCAGAATCAGGACTGGACTGCTGGTTTCCCCTATTGAATAATATATTCAATATCACTTCTCAGCTCACGACCATCTCTTGCTTATGATAAGGTCTGAGTGCTCAAGTCTCCCAGTTTCATTGTCATACATCATTCAGTATGTGGTTCCCAGCTGGGCTGATCATTGCCGAACCTCAGCTATTGAATGCTAATGATGTGGAATGAAGAAACACTATACCTTTGACGGCTGCATTTGCTGATCTGATACTAATGCTTAAATCCACACTTAGACGACAGCTTCACTGTGCAACTGTGCACAGTGTGGTGTAGTGGTTAGAGTGTCAGAGTAGGACCTGACAGACCATTGTTCAACTCCCCACTTGGCCATGAAGCTTAATGGGTGACCCTAGGCTGGTCAAAGAGCCAGTGTGGTGTAGTGGTTAAGAGGGGTAGTCTTGCAATCTGGGGAACCAGGTTCGCGTCTCCGCTCCTCCACATGCAGCTGCTGGGTGACCTTGGGCCAGTCGCTCTTCTTTGAAGTCTCTCAGCCCCACTCACCTCACAGAGTGTTTGTTGTGGGGGAGGAAGGGAAAGGAGAATGTTGGCCGCTTTGAGACTCCTGAAGGGGAGTGAAAGGCGGGATATCAAATCCAAACTCTTCTTCTTCTTCGTCTCAGCTAACCTACCTCACAGGGTTGCTGTTAGGGCTATTGGGTGGTTGCTCAATAGCAATCAGGCAAGATGCCTCACTGGTCTGTTCTAGAGCTTTATTATTGGTGCTAAAAACCTTTACAATGCAGAGCGTCTCTATTCCATGTCTTGCTCAGTCACTAGCAGAATCTGAGAGTGGGCGGTCCTTAAATCTTCCCCAGCAGAGTAGTCTCTTGACCCCCAGCCGACACCTCCCCTCTCTGCGCGAAAGCCTACTGCGCAGGAAAGGCTTGGGTAAAGGGAGACCTCCCTCCTCCCCGCTTTGCTCAGGCAAGGTGTCCTGGCACTGCCTTGCATCCTCCGAGCCCTGCATCTCCTCTCCACTAGAGGCGTGGCTTCCTTCCTCTGCTGAGGACGTGCTGCTTCCCAAGATCTTTGGGGGCTCTCCGTAATCCATCTGTCTTTCCCCCCTCGCCCCTGAGCCGATGGCAGTTCCCTGACAGTTGCTGTGGGGATTAAATAAGGAGGAGAAAGAATCACACATGCCACCTTGAGCTCCTTAGAGATAGACGTGGGACATAAAAGCCACAAAGAAGTAAGTATTTTTCTCTTCACCCAGCTCCCCTCAATTTGTGAAGGTTGTGGGACACCGGTATATACTGACTTGTATCTCCTGAAACAGCGGCAGGATAAGCAGGTAATTTAATTTTAATCAAGTCTACGGGTTGACTTACTTTGCTGTTGCAAACCACGTAGGTTTTCAGTCAGGATGTCTTGCCGACGTGCATCTTCTGCGTTCCAGGATCATTGAACAGGCCGCCCTGCACATCAAGAGATTAACAATGACAACGGTAACTTACTAGTGGCGTCCATCAAAAATCCACAGCAGGGTGGAAGGGACATAAGAGAGGAAAGAAGGAAGCACCTCCCTTTTTTCCCTCCCACCCCCTATCCATGCTACCCACAGTTGCATTTTCTCCTACTCTCAGCATGCCTGGAACTGAGAGGAAGTGCCTTTGAGAGAGTGGTTTGATTAGGAAAGAGCCCACCAAAAAGCACTTCCTCCTAGTTTCCAGTAGGAGAAAGCAGTTGCGGCCAGGAGGCTAACCAGGGTAAGCTGTCTGGGGTTTGGCTTGAAACTGTTGTGCTCTTTGGCCTTCACTCAAATCCCACTCCCATCCAGGTCATGTCTTGAGAACAAATACAAAAAATAAAATTACCGTATTATTATTATTATTATTTAACTCCACTGAAGTCTGGTCCTGAGGAGTTTTGCATTTAAATGGAGGAAAGTGAGAGCCTCTATTGCCAAGGGCATTCCTGGCAGCTTGAAGGATATTGGGACTTAGGTGGAGTTTGTATCCTGTTGTCTCCCAAGACAGACAGATGCCCATCTTTCTCCATTGTGGGAAGGCAGTTGTAGACCCAGCCCTCTCGGCAGTCTCTGCCCACCATCAGAGTAGAAAACACTACACCCTATACAGTGGTACCTTGGGTTACATATGCTTCAGGTTACATACGCTTCAGGTTACAGACTCCACTAACCCAGAAATATTACCTCGGGTTAAGAACTTTGCTTCAGGATGAGAACAGAAATCGTGCTCCGGCGGCACGGCAGCAGCGGGAGCCCCATTAGCTAAAGCGGTGCTTCAGGTTAAGAACAGTTTCAGGTTAAAAACGGACCTCCGGAACAAATTAAGTATTTAACCCGAGGTACCACTGTATCTATTGGTTTGAAGCAGCTCTGTGTGGGTAGCAGAACATGAAGACAGATCACCAACAGTCAAAGATTATGGCTGCATTTGCCCAACAGTGTCAACAATTCCTTACTTAGATCCCATTTCCTGCTAAACCCGTGTAAACTCAATCCATTGAACAAAGGGTATGTTAATACAGATATTCTCCACAAGGTGGCTGCAAAAATTACTTTGCAGTGAGAAAAGATTGTATGGATCCACCTGCTGAAGTTCACACACAAAGTAATCCATTACTTTAACTGGAAGACCTAGGTTAACATCACCATTTCCCCATGCAATAGCAATTGCCATGGGCCTATTATTCCTTTCTCCAGTCTGATCTAACTCACAGGGTTCTGGTGGGGATAAAATGGATGAAGGATAACAATGTATATCGCCTTGAGCTCTTTGGATAAAACCTGCATTTGTCCAAATATGAAGAAAACTGTGGGTTTCTTATGTATTAAATACTGTGGACATCAATTCACTAATTCCATATTTTATTCATTCTGTCAAATAAAAAGCTGTATTTCTCTGGCCACAAAGCAGTTTTATAATTATCCGGTGTATTTCTCATCATAAATGAATTCACTGGTATACTAGCATGTTTTTAAAAAAATCCCTGTTCACAGCAGGATCCTGTTCATGTCTACTCAGAAGTAAGTTCCACTGAATTCAATGGGACTTACTCCCAGGTAGGTATGTGCAGAATTGTACAAGTTTTTGTATCACAATTGCTTTCTTTTAAAAGTGTGAGAGAGGGACAGAGAACAAGAACTGCACTCAATTGCCTGGACATTTTGCTAATTGAATCTGCTAGTAGAAATAATGCAAATTCAATTATTAAATTTTCAATCCCTTCAACACACCTCCCTTCTGCCCCGCAAAACACAATGCACTTTGTTACAACGGATATGGGTACTGTGTGTGTGTGTGTGTGTGTGTGCAGCCTGAATCACGATAACAGGTTTTTATCCCATTACAGGTGCTAATTAAGACTGCAATTGTAATCTCATTTACTTCAGCCTAAGCCTCATTGAATTCAAAATAATTTATTTCTGAGCAGACATGGTTAGGAATGGATTATGCTGCAATCTACCAATGCCAGGATTTTTCATTTTTGAATGGTCGCTGTACTTATTTACATACATTTAGGTTTTAATGTAATTGTCACAGTCTGGTGTCCCCGCCTCCCTTTTCCTCAGAACTCACTTTTTACATTTTTTCTTCTGTGTCTGCCAAGTAAGGATAGCATTTCAGGTATCTGATAAAAGGGACACTCGTCCACATACTTATGCCATGATAAACGTTCTTGTTTAGAAACCTACCCAGATCCTTAGAAAACTGAGGTAATTTTAATCTGTTTCAGTCAAACCGCTGGAGAGTTCCAGCACCTACTGTGGCTGTAGAGACCAATACAGGAGAGACATGTTTTATTGCAGGTGGGGCAGATGAAGGTGTCTGGTTTCGCTGGTGCATATGCCTCACTCGTTTCTTCTCTTTGTGCTCCCCCCCAGTGGTCATTTCCAGTGGTTGGAAAGTAAGGTTTTAAAATCTCTTTGGAAACCACCTTGCGGTTGGTTGGTTGGTTTTCACAATAAGCAGTATATAAATCTTACGAAATAAATAAATGCATAAATAAATAAATATATGTGTTATTATTAAAGGTACCATGAGACTCTTTGCTGTATATACAAACCCACAACTGTGCAATTTCAGCATTAAGCAAATCATCATCATCCCTCTTCCTTGTAGATCAGAGCTTTCCACACTTTTCATGTTGGTGACACACTTTTTAGACATGCATCATTCCGCGATGCAGTAATTCAGTTTCACTAGGAAAGTGGAGGTTAAACTAACCCCTTTCCACACCTGGGAGAAGCGCGGGGAGCATTCGTGCAACACACCTACACACTGCAGCCGACACACTAATGTGTTGCAACACACAATTTGGAAAGCTCTGCTGTAGAGGAAGGGCCCACAACGCAATAGCCTCAAGTGTGGTGTAGAACAGGAGTGACCAGATACTGTTACTTGTGGGACAAATATTGAATAATTATAGGCAGTTCAGCGCAGAGGTGCCAACTTGAGCAGAAGATGGTGTGTGTGTATGATGATGCACACATGGCATATGTGTGATACAGGAATATCAGGAGGAACCAGGGGACGGAGCTGAACCCAGTGGCAGCGCAGCTTCAATGCTGGTGGCTCCTCTCCTGCTACTGCCACTGCCCTCTTCTTTCCCCTCCATGGCTGAAGAAGGAGAAACCACCAGCCCCTAATCAGCCTCCTCCTGATTGTTATGCCACCTTGAGCTCCTTTGGAGGAAAAATGGGGACATAAATGCAATAAATGAATATAGTTTGAATGACCTGGTCTTGAGACATAGGAAGTGCAGCCTAAAACCTTATGAAATGGCTGCTGCTGGTGGTAGTGCATTATCCTGTTGGATCAGGCTGAGAGAACAGCAGACGATCCAAGTGTCCCTATTTTCCAGGGGCAGTCCTGGATTTACAAGCGCTGTCCCAGTGTCTGATTTGATCCCGGAAAGTACCGCTTTTCTTTAGGACGTCCCTATTTTCAATGGAGAAATGTTGGACGGCAGGGAGTTATGTGACCCCTGAACCAAGGAGATAAGTAACCTTTAGAAGGCATCTGAAGGCAGACCTATATAGTCTTATTCTGTTTTTATATGTGTTGGAAGCCACAAAGAGTATTATTATCATTATTCTGGAACAGGATGTCCCTATTTTCACTGGAGAAATGTTGTGGAGGGTATGGAAATTTGGACAGTATCGAGTTATGTGACCCCTAAGCCAAGGAGAGAAGTAACTTATACAACCTTTAGAAGGCATCTGAAGGCAGCCCTGTACAGGGAAGTTAATTTTTTAATGCTTAATGTTTATTATGTTTTTATGCATGTTAGAAGCTGCTCATAGTGGATGGAACAACCCAGTCAGATGGGCGGGGTATAAATATTATTATTATCAGTGCTTTTTTCTGGGGGGACACATACCCCTAAACATTTTGTGAATCTTTATACTTTTTGTCCATTTACTGTCCATTTATTTTCCCCGATTTGAACTATATAATGATGATTTTCTTGAGTCAAAATGAGAGTGCCCCTAAACATTTTTTTAAAAGCACTTATTGTTGTTGTTGTTGAATAGTAAAGGTAAAGGGACCCCTGACCATTAGGTCCAGTCGTGGTCAACTCTGGGGTTGCGGCGCTCATCTCGCTTTATTGGCCGAGGGAGCCGGCGTACAGCTTCTGGGTCATGTGGCCAGCATGACTAAGCTGCTTCTGGCGAACCAGAGCAGCGCACGGAAACGCCGTTTACCTTCCCGCCGGAGCGGTACCTATTTATCTACTTGCACTTTGGCGTGCTTTTGAACTGCTAGGTTGGCAGGATGCATAAAGTAAAGGAAACGGGAAAGGACCCCTTGATGGTTAAGTCCAGTCAAAGGCGACTATGGGGTTGTGATGCTCATCTTGCTTTCAGGCCGAGGGAGCCGGTGTTTGTCCACAGACAGCTTTCCGGGTCATGTGGCCAACATGACTAAAGCACTTCTGGCGCAATGGAACACTGTGACGGAAACCAGAGTGCATGGAAACGCCGTTTACCTTCCCGCTGGAGTGGTACCTATTTATCTACTTGCACTTTGACGTACTTTCAAACTGCTAGGTTGGCAGGAGCAGGGATCGAGCAACGGGAGCTCACCCCGTTGCGGGGATTCGAACTGCCAACCTTCTGATCGGCAAGTCCTAGGCTCTGCGGTTTAACCCACAGCGCCACCCGTGTCCCGTTGTTGACAGCATCTTAAAAAGCAGAGACATCACCTTGCCAACAAAGGTCCGTCTAGTTCAAGCCATGGTTTTCCCAGTAGTGATGTATGGAAGTGAGAGCTGGACCATAAAGAGGGCTGATCGCCAAAGAATTGATGCTTTTGAATTCTGGTGCTGGAGGAGACTCTTGAGAGTCCCATGGACTGCAAGAAGATCAAACCTCTCCATTCTGAAGGAAATCAGCCCTGAGTGCTCACTAGAAGGACAGATCCTGAAGCTGAGACTCCAGTACTTTGGCCACCTCCTGAGAAGAGAAGACTCCCTGGAAAAGACCCTGATGTTGGGAAAGATGGAGGGCACAAGGAGAAGAGGACGACAGAGGACAAGATGGTTGGACAGTGTTCTCGAAGCTACCAGCATGAGTTTGACCAAACTGCGGGAGGCAGTGGAAGACAGGAGTGCCTGGCGTGCTCTGGTCCAGGGGGTCACGAAGAGTCGGACACGACTGAACGACTAAACAACAACAACCCTTCTGCCAAACGCTAAAGCAAGCAGCTTAACAAAGCTTATGTGCTAGGAGGTCGTTCTGCGCATGCCCCATTGGCATGAACCATGCGCCTTGGGAGCATCACTGCGTTCTTGCACAGTGCACATCCACGTCAATGGGGCATCTTTGGGAGAATTCCCTGTGTGCTCTGTGAGCACAGGAGGGCCTGGCATGCTCTGGTCCAGGGGGTCACGAAGAGGCGGACACGACTCAACCACAACAACATTTTCATTGGAGAAATGCTGGAGGGTCTGCATCAGGGAACCAGGGTGGAGCTTGGTGGGAAATGGGTGCAGAGGAGTAAATGAGCAGCAAAAAAAGCTGAGCCACCCCCAGCACCCCTTCCCCACTCCTGGGCACCCCAGGGGGCTAAAAGGAGGAGGCCTCCAAGTGAACCCCCCCCCCGGGGTGGGGTAAAGTCTGCTGAACCAACCCCCCCCCCCGGGTTTTGCGGGCGGGGGGAGAAGCCCCCATGTGCAGAGATAGATAGATAGATAGATAGATAGATAGATAGATAGATGATAGATAGATATTTATTTTACCCCGCCCATCTGGCGTGGTCCCATGTGCAGAGATATTAATTGATTAATTAATTAATTAATTATACCCCGCCCATCTGGCGTGGTCCCCCCCCCAGCCACTCTGGGCGGCTAAAACACTAAAATACAATAACCTATTAAACATTAAAAGCTTCCCTGAACCAGATGCCAAATGCTCGGCGGGGCTGGAGGGGCCTCCTCCGGGCAACGGGGAAACGAGCCTCTCTCTGCCGGCACCACCCCGGGCGGCCCGTCCCCTTCGGCCGGACTCCTCCAGCGCCTTCCCCTCGCCCGCGCCTCCCTACCTCTCCTCCTCCTCGGCTCCGCCCCGCCCGACGCCGGCGCCGCAGGCTCCCAGGCCCGACAAAGGCCCGACAAAGGCCCACAGGGCTCCTCGCCTCGCCTCCTCGGCCCGGCCGGCCCCTCGCCGCCCCCCGCTCCGCCTCCGCCTGAGGCGACCCGAGGAGCCTCCCCTCAGCCGCCCCCCACTCCCGGCGGCATCTCGACCGTTTCTCCGCCTCAGTTTCTTTATTATTAATTTTGGCGCGAAGGCGGCGCCTTGGAAGAAGAAGTTGCTCTTTGCAAGCGGCGCCACGGAATTTATCTCGTTTATTTCAGTGGTTCTCAAATTCCCGACCCCCAACTCTGGGGCACGATTTCAGAATGCACATTTCTCCGCGCCGCACCGGATGTTTTTTTTATCGCTAACTAGGATTGTCCTCAATATCACCCGATGCTCTTTTTTGAAAATATTCTGCAAGTGAACTGGCACTGCGGCTCTGCACGTTTGAATGTTTCTGGGATTGTCCTTGAATCTTCTTCCCACCACGTTTGGCATCCCCTCCTGCCACGCCCTGGTTTATTCTGCTTTTCTTTCGTAAAATGTATACATCGCAAGATAGTTAAAAACAACAACACCACCCAAAGCAGCTTGCGAAAAGGTAAAGCAGCAAAACCGAGGGAAAATCCTCAACCCAACTTTTAAGGCATAATGCAAGTTGAAAATACTAAAGTGGAATGGAATTGCTTCAGCTTGTCTAAAACAGGGATGGTTTTCATCAGGCACCAAAAAGAGTACAGTGAAAGTTGCTCTTTGCGGCAACAGCACACAAAATATTTGTACTGTTTTATTTTATGAAATTTATACACAGCTTGGTAGTTTAAAAGCAAACATAAAAGCGGCTTATGAAAAGATAAAGCAGTAAAACCAAGTGAAAATCCACAACAAGCCTACTCGGGGTGGCGCTGTGGGTTAAACCACAGAGCCCAGGGCTTGCGATCAGGAGGTCGGCGGTTCGAATCCCTGCGACGGGGTGAGCTCCCGTTGCCCGGTCTCAGCTCCTGCCCACCTAGCAGTTCAAACGCACGTCAAAGTGCAAGTAGATAAATAGGTACCACTCCGGCGGGAAGGTAAAAAGTGTTTCTGTGCGCTGCTCTGGTTCGCCAGAAGCGGCTTAGTCATGCTGGCCACATGACCCGGAAGCTGTACGCCTGCTCCCTCGGCCAGTAAAGCGAGATGAGCGCCGCAACCCCAGAGTCGGTCACCACTGGACCTAATGGTCAGGGGTCCCTTTACCTTTACTCGGTCAGTAAAACATAAGACATGTGGGTTCAAGCCCCGTGTTGGGTTAAAGATTCTTGCATTGCAGGGGGATTGTATTAGATATCCCTTGTGGCCCCTTCCAACTCTACAAATCTATGATCCTATTAACAAAAGTTGAAAATACTAGAGCGGATTAGAATTGCCTCAGCTTTCTAAGCATCTGGGTAGACTTGTCCAAAACAGGGATAGCTTTTAGCAGGTGCCAAAAAGAGTACGGCGAAGGCACCTGCTTGATCTCAATAGGCAAAGTGGTAGCACTGCCACGCTAAAATGATCAGGTTCTTGCAAATGTGGAATGGGTGTTATTTATATGGCACCAGTGCTAGTCTGGTTATAGTGCAACCTACATCCCTGAGTGAGATGCAGTTTATTTGACAGGAGAATCTATATTTATCTATCTCCACATCTTTTCTGTCCAGGTACCAGAAAAGATGGCAAAACACTAAAAAGTTGTTGAAAGGAGGGAAGTGGAACTGCACTGTGAGCGACCATAGTAGTTTCCCTCCCAAAGCAATCTCTTGGTGGTAATGAAAGCTTGTCTTGAACTGGCTAATTTGGGCTGCTGCTTGTTTGTAGCTTCCTTTGAAATGTATCCTTTTTTAAAAAGATTTTTTTTTACTCCCTTTTTTCCTCCATACATAATTTCTTCAGCACTGCTTGAGGCATCGCCACCATCTCTTTTTTTTGTGCCAACCATAAAGAGTTAGTGCATTTTTATGTCCGTAGGTTTTGCCATGTTTATGGAGTTTTAATACTGTATTTTACTATGTTGTGCTTCTGAGCCAACTAATGAGTCGTGTTACTGGGTGACCCATGTAGGTGTCATGATGATGATTAAAAATCTATTAACTGGCTGTGTCTAAAGTGTCACCTTATGGGGAAATCAAGGATTTTACAAATCCATGTTATTCTTATTTTTAATGGATGCTTTCCAAAAGGCACGATTTGTCTCCAAAGGCTGCTTATGCTTCAGCAAGCATTGTTATTCTAGCTATGGTAATTCTATCTTAATAATGCCTTTCCGCCAGTTTTCTTGAAACAGACATTAGGCTAACTGATCTGTAAGTTCCTCGATACTCCCTGGACCCCTTTTAAAAACTGGTGTTACATTGGCCAGTTTCCAGTCCTGCAGCACAATAAGTTTATATATTTTGCATTTCTTTGTTAGAAGATCAGCAGTTTCACATTCGAGGTAAAAATTATTGAGTGGGTGTCATTTGGACCTGGTTAATTTGTTAATTTTTAATTTCCAGACTCCCTTCCTGAGAAAGTTAGTTCAGGCACAGGGATCTGCCTATTTCCCCACAGTGAAAACAGATGCAAATAATTCATTCAGCTTCTTTGCAATCTCATCTTCCGCCTTTAGCACATCTCTAAGTCCCTTGCTGTCCAACTACCTCCTTAGCAGGAGCCAAGTCTCATTAGTACAGTTGCAGCTCTCCCTCCTCTGCAACAATGAAAGGCAATCCAAGCGGATACAACTGATTCAAGGGAACTTTTACTAAGAAAGCACCCTATAGATAACACCCACATGAGTTTCACACATCTTGAGAAGCTTATAAAGGTAAAGGTACCCCTGCCCGTACGGGCCAGTCGTGTCCGACTCTAGGGTTGCGCGCTCATCTCGCTTAAGAGGCCGGGAGCCGGCGCCGGACAAGGACACTTCCAGGTCACGTGGCCAGCGTGACAAAGCTGCACTGGCGAGCCAGCACCAGCGCCGCACACGGAAACGCCGTTTACCTTCCCGCTAGAAAGCGGTACCTATTTATCTACTTGCACTTAGGGGTGCTTTCGAACTGCTAGGTGGGCAGGAGCTGGGACCGAACGACGGGAGCTCACCCCGCCGCAGGGATTCGAACCGCCGACCATACAATCAGCAAGTCCTAGGCCCTGAGGTTTTACCCACAGCGCCACCCGCGTCCCTGAGAAGCTTATAACACAATGCAAAATAACAGTAACTTCATTAGGTGAATGAAGCCAGTCCCACCTGCTGTCTACAGTTCTTTTACTCCCAAGCAAACAAAGATACGCTCACAGCAAACACTTTCTTTTAAAGACATTCTTTATTTTTTATATACAATATTCTTTTTAAACTTTTAAAAATTACATATGCAGGATGCCAGCTCAGAGACAGCCAGAAGCTCCCCAGTTCACAAGGCTGACTCTTGCCCGTTTTAATATTTCAGAAGAAAAATATAAACTTTAGGAAAGTGAAATAAGAGGCAGGATGACAGCCAACATCCACTATGAATAAGTGTTTCATGGTAGATGGACTAAATCAAGCAGAGGTGCCCCTAGGCCTGTGGTTATCAACAATTGCACCACTACAGATTGACATCACAATAATGAATGAGCCAAGCCCCCTTTGTGTGTATTAATGGCAGTCCAAAAGCCAAAAATGGTCACCAACCTGATACATGAAGCCCAGGGATAAGGAATTAGTAGCTCTCCTGATGTTGTCTGACTAAACTCTCACGCTGAGCCAGCATAGTTAAGGGGCAGGGAAGATGGAAGTTGCAGTCTTAACATCTGGCAGGTCACAGGTTCCCAATTCCTACACTAACTGAATTGTTCTTTGTTATCTCCTCCTTTTAACGGTGTAAAAAGTAACTGAACTATACAAGCAATCCAAAAGTGTATGCATATAGAGATTATATAAATAGCTCAAATGCAGTGCTTTAAAAAAAAAAATCCCTGCTGATTGGCTCTGGTTCTCTTAGAAGGATTCTGCCCTAGATATTTATGGCTTTTAAACATATAGGAAAGTTGCCTTCGGAGGTGGGGGGATGAATTATTTCAACTAGCCAAGTATTTTCAAGGAAGAAAAATATAAGACGTATATATGTAAATGTATAAACATCTAGAGTGGACAATCAAAGAGATTTTTTTTGTTGTTTAAAAGAACCCAGGATCTTTAAGAGAATATATTCATTTTAGGGGGGAAAACAGCTGAAGTCAATTAGAGGATTTTTCCTTGATGGAGAGTACTGTTCCTATTCATTCAGAAAATGGAGCTTTAGTACTCCACATTAAAATACGTAATTTAAAATATTTGAGTCTAAATCACACATGTTCTTGGTCTAGCAGGGGGAAAATACTATACAGCAGACAAAGGTATGTCTACTCATAGGCACAGGCAGAATCATAGGCATGTCTACTCAGAAGTAAGCCCCTTTGAGTTCAATGGAATAGAGTCCTCACTGCAATCGGAGACTTACTCATGAGTAAACATGTCTAGAACTGAATATTTGCATGTTCAGCATTTTTATGTCTACAATAGCAAGTGATGACTTGCACATGTGACCACAGAGAGCTTTTGCATTCCACATAAAAATTATGGAGTGAGGTCACACATCAGTTGCCAGGCATGTACATAAATAACCAAGTACAGAGAAAATGGGTGTTGTCCATTATTAAAATTTTGTTTGGAGGAGACAAGTGAGCATGTTGCAAAAATACTGGATAAACCAGAACCGTGTGTTGTTAGAATGTAGGACTTGTAAATAAGTAAATCTAACATGTCTGAAGCAAAGTAGAACAGGAGCGACAAAATGTTTTTTAAAACCTACTAATTCTAATGTATTTGTTTTTAGTTGTTACTTGTATCCTTTTTCTTCTTTAAAACAAGAACTCAGTGCATTCATGTACCATTGTTGCAGCTAGATTTTAATGGGTTCAACACATAGTTTAAACAATTGCTGTGATTATGAGCCGTTCATTATGGCCTGTCAATCTGTGATGTCTTTCACATTTTTAACATTAACAAGTGACACTTCACATGTAGCAGCGTATGAATTCATTCCTCGGATTATCTTAATTCCTGAAAAAGAAAATCTAGAGTCCACTGAAGCCAGACTTGAACAGCCACATTTCATGGCTGTCAAGAAGGTACACAAACTATAATAGAGTTGTTGTCTCTGTACTGCATAAAGCTTGAGAAGGGAGAGCAGGGATGGCATTAGAACTCCCAAAACCAAATACTGTGATAAACTCAATAATGAAGCAAATATATTCAATTTGTTGCATGGCCAAACAAGAGGGAAATGGCATTGCATCTGATTAGCGAAATTTTCTGAAGTGGCTCAGGATTTAAAATTTGACATATTTCATGGCAGTGAGTTCACCCCATGTAGCAGACTTACCAAAGCAACAAATGCAAGCAGCACTTTTATAACTCAAGGCATAGTGATAGATAGGAAAGCAAATCAGCAGGCATGAATTCAGACTTTCTATTTCTGGCTCTATATAATTCTGTCCCTGACCTCTCTCTCTAGAATTGGGAGAAGTATTTTATTTCTGGGTAGGGTGTTGTATGTTCTGAAGAATATAAAAGAACTTTTAGAGAGACACAATGCTTCCCCCCCCCCTTCAGTCCTCCTGATGCAAAAGCAGTGTGCAGAAGCTCAAATTACTAGCGATTATAACAAGTGGAAAATCTAATTTTAAACCACTCTTTTAAAATGGAACAGAAGTACTTGCCTTAAGTCATTAAAGACTAATTAGGTAATTAGTTTCAATGATGCTTGGAAAGCAATTATAGTAATTTCATTCAGCTTTTGGTTTTCAGCGAATAGCCGCACAAGTCACAATTAACTTGAGTGACTATGAATTATTGGAGTACTTATTTATGCTGAACTTCCAATTTCTATTTTTGGTGATTGCGTGTATTGTAGCATTGGATTAACCTGTGTCATGAAAAGAGCTCTCCATGGGTGATCCTCAGACCCAACCCTCTATCTTGGGGGGGGGGGGGGAGTATTTCTATTTTTTCAGAGGGCAAGCATTTTTCCTCTTCCTGTCCCCCCAATATGTAGTTAAAACATAACCCACATTATTAGGGCTTAACAGCTTGATGCTTAGGGTCAGGGTTTGAGTAAGAGGCCTGTAATAGGTCCTCTCACCACTCCAAGTAGCCTACTCTCTTCCTTACCACTATTGGTGACTAGCTTGACCTGTCCCTCTAGGCCAGGCATCCCCAACCTTCGGCCCTCCAGATGTTTTGGACTACAATCCCCATCATCCCTGACCACTGGTCCTGTTAGCTAGGGATCATGGGAGTTGTAGGCCAAAACATCTGGAGGGCTGCAGGTTGGGGGTGCCTGCTCTAGGCTCATCCTACAGCACTTGCCCAGAGAGGCAGGTTGAGGCTGCTCGCCTGCTCCTTTTTCCTGTCACTGCTCACTTGCTTGGAGACAGCAAGTGGACAGGGGCATCAGATCTAGGGAGCTCTGTGGGTTGCTAATGTCCACTATTTAACGGGTTGGCTCTGCCCTATATTCCACGTCAGCTGGTTTAACTTGTCACAACGTTCAGTTTGTGTCTTCTTCTCTGAAGTCCCATGCAAAATGTGTGTGGGGGGGGAGGGAATATATATACACTTAAAACAGGAAGCCTCTGAGTACATGCACGGGTCAGGAATTTGTTTGCAGCAGTAGAACAGAGCCCACAGGCCTTTCACATAAAAAAATCTACTCTTAATTTTCCCCAAGCTTCCCTAGCTTCAACAGCCTAATTTAGAAAAGTGAAATGAGAAAGCTACTTGTTGCTGCTTTTGTTTTTTTCAAAAAACAGAGGCCAGAAACTGTTGCAGATCTATTACAAATATCTCAGAGATCTATCCAGTAGATCCAGATGCTCAGGCCCATTTTAATCAATATACTCATGCACACTGGAAACCAGTAAGGGGGTGGGGTAGAGAAGCAAACTCAAAACTGGAAGAAACTGCATGCAGAGTGGTCTGAAAAACTTTTAAAATAAGCATGGAGGGATGATAAGACTGCCAGTACACTGGTGCTATTCAACAAACAAAATCAGCTAATCCATCCAAGTCTTCCCAACAATGACACTGTATTGTTTGTGCTCTAAAATGAAGATTACTATCTGCTGCACATCAATGTTTTAGGGAAGACAAATGTAGCAGTAATGTAGTACCAGCATGAGTATGCACCGTTTCCATGTACAGAAAATGGCTGAAAACTATTCAGCCTAATACAAAGCCCAATTCCACTCTACTTAGGCTGAAAACCATTCTAGCCCCCTCAATTTTTACTTTTCAACAAAACAATCACTTTGGATATCCATGCATCATACAGCGTTTTGCCACTGATTTCGATGAAGAAGAAGAAGAAGAAGAAGAGTTTGGATTTGATATCCCGCCTTTCACTCCCCTTCAGGAGTCTCAAAGCGGCTAACATTCTCCTTTCCCTTCCTCCCCCACAACAAACACTCTGTGAGGTGAGTGGGGCTGAGAGACTTCAGAGAAGTGTGACTAGCCCAAGGTCACCCAGCAGATGCATGTGGAGGAGCGGGGTAGCGAACCCGGTTCACCAGATTACGAGACTACCGCTCTTAACCACTACACCACACTGGCTCGATGAGAACATTGTCAATGTTCCAAGACTTAGGCTCAATAAAAACAGTATAAGCAGCATATGGAGAGCAATTTCCAACGTTATGCTAGACACAACTTCTACAGAGCTTTGCATCAAAATATTCCAAATTCTATTGCCAGGCTACAGTTCAAAAACAGCACATGATTTTGATTTGCATATGTTGTCTTTTTCATGCAGAATTTAGAATTTTGAGTTTATTGGGGGCCTGGGAAAGAAAAAGTGAGCATAAAGAAAACATTAGGATGCAGAAATGTAAAAAACAGGTTTGTGGGGGTGGCAACATGGGAGTGGAGACCATGGGGCTGTCCAGTAGTTGTGCTAAGCAAGGAATAACTCAACCTCCCAAGGTCTAGAATTCCACCTTTCTCTACTGTAAATATACCATGAAGTTTTAGATTTACCTCTGCAATTATGTGGGCTAGAGACAAGCACATATATTGGGTTTCACATTAGAATGGAGCATGATCCTGGCCAGAAGCCCAGCTGTACTGTACCAGTGCAAAGTGGGTAGAGTGATCTCCATCCTAGGGATCGCAATATGTTAAATATTTAACTTATCTTCCACCACAAGTGGATCTTAGGTTTGTTACCAGTTACCTAGTTAAAATGGTGTGCTGAGTTACAGATTGGCTGTCCTTGAGGCACAGTAAGGTCCCAATGGGATAACTTGGTCAACGTTTTTGGAATTCAGCACTCTTTAAAAGGGATGCATACCAACAAAAATAAATGCTTGTAATCTGCATTCACCAGGAAATCAGATTCCAATGTACATGAAAAATATTCATACAAAATATTTAAATATCCAACTAACCCCCGCCCCCCCAAATACTGAATGATTCTCTTTTAACTGAACTGGGGTGGGGGACCTGACAGGAAAGGAGCCATTTCTAACCCAAATTGTTATCAATTGCATTTAGTAATGACAAGGAAGCACTGCAAAGTAAAACTCACACAAACATTTCTGTTGATCTGCTGTCCACTATCATGTACCCACCAGTAAGTGTTATGTTTCCAGTTACTTAGAAATCAAGTGGTAGGATTTCTATTGTGTAAGTGAAGGCTGACAAACTCATCCTCACACTTCCGCCGTACCAAAAGATCCAAAAACCAAGCACCATTATACCCTGGTAAAAGTCTTACTCAGAGGACGTGTAAAAACATCTCTTACAGAACAGTTCTTCCATTTCTGAATAATATACAAATAAAAAAAGTGAGAGTTTAATGAAACTCCCGGCTTCATAGACAAATGTTGAGTTATTGCAGCTTAATTGAAGGGAATCTTGACCAAGTGGCAGATGCATTGGGCGGTTTTGTCATAGTGTAAGAAGCGACGCTGCAGTGAATGGAGCTTTCCAAATCCTAAAAGGAAAACCGAGAGAAGTTGCTGATCCGTTTCATATCTCATTTACTGATGAACAATACTACAAGAACAAATGGTTGATCAATATTATTAATAACAATAATAAAAATAGGCAAGGGTCTGAGAGGCACTGGGAATGGCTGCCAGTCTGGACAGACTGATGAAAAGTAGAAAATTCTAAACAGGAGTAGAGGAATTTCAGCTCTAGGTGCTATTAGTGCACTTTTGTTGCCTGTCATTGTTTCAGTCATGCCATCATCGAAAGAAAAACCAAATGACATAATATCAGGAATCCACATCATCTGGGCAGGAGATCGCTCACTACGAAGGTCAGTAGTAGCCGTTCCACTTCACTCCTGTCACGGGGCAGGAAACATGTTCCGATAGGCTTTGAATTGTTAAAAACACCATGCTCCACCTTCTCAGTTGCAAATATACAAGGTCTTTTCGCTGACACACACTGCACTTGATAGTTTTGGTCATGTATAAAATGGAATTTTTAAATTTATGTACATGCTTAAGAGTGCAGTTTTGATCCTCTCTTCATTCAAAGTTATTCATTAATTAAACAATGCCAGTCTTCTCTCAAGCCTTAAGTCTGAAGTGGTCCATGTAAACAAAACACAGCTAAAACGAAGTATTTTGTCCTTGTCCTGGAATAGTTTCTATCGATATGCATGATTTCCTGAAAGTGTTGTGTTGGCTAGATGTAAAACAGGCAAGGGGTGAGCTTCTGTGTTAAAAACCCAGTGATCCAAAGGTAGGAGATCATCATTGGAGAACAGCAGATACAAATACCTGTCAAGGTAAAGAGAGAAAACAAGTTGGAATGAGCAACAGAATGTTTGTCACCATATGTCTGGTCTAACCTAGATAACCTCAGAAAAATTATGAACTTTCCGGTTAAAATATCACCCATTAAAGAAGTTGTAGCAGATCACTTAATCAACTGAAATTCTATAAATTCTATAATTTGCATACGATCTGCAACAACTGTTCTGAAAGAGAAAACATTATTGCTTTAAATAAAGCAGGAATGTAATCAGAGTGGGTTCCATCATAAAAGAAACAGTCCCCCGTATCTCATATAGGACGGAATGCTTCTCACCATCCACCTTTTTTAAAATAAGTACCGTATTTTTCGCCCTAGAGGACGCACTGGCCCATAGGACTCACATATTTTTTTTGGGGGGGGGTAAAGAAAAAAATTTTTATCCCCCCCCCCAGCCGTGGCTTCAGCGCGCCCCGCACTCCGGGCAGCAGGCTGCTATCTGCAGCCTAGGGAGCCCTGCGGGAACTCCCGCGGGCTCCCCAGGCTTGCTGATAGCTTCCTAAAGCCTGGAGAGCGAAAGCCTGCATTCGCCCCATAGGACGCACACAGATTTCCCCTTCATTTTTGGAGGGGAAAAAGTGCGTCCTATAGGGCGAAAAATACAGTACTTGCTTTAAAAAAATTATGATGGTTATTTTAACTCTTCTGCTCAATTAACTGTGCATTTTATAATGGATCAAAATGTTTTTAATGGATTAATTATCTAGTTCTTGTTCAAATACTTTTAAAAATAATAATCTCAACCTTATGATTTAGATTTTATCCACCAAAATTAATAACACTGCCATGATTGCCAGAAGTGTTCTCTTTGAAATAACTGGATTTTCACTGCATTTTCAAGACTGAAGTATTATGAACATAACATGAACAAATTCCATTTGGCTGTAGTGAAATGTCAGCCTGGTGCTCATTAGCCTTAGTGAAAAGTGTGATGTTGGCCTGTAAGTCTCCAATGCACACCCATAAACTGAGTCCTTTTATTTTCAGACCTCTAAGAGACGTTATCTGATAATATATGCTTCCACCCAGAAAGTATTTATTTAGAAGACTCAAAGAACAAATCGTTAAGACCCAGCTCAGAAAGCCAAAATGATCTGAGTATTCAAGCCAGGGACACATTAGCTGTAGACTAAAATATTTCTCAGAACTCTTCACTCAGAATAATGGCTTTCAAGTCATGATTATTTCCTAATCTCTGAAGTTAACAAACAACACTGGGGTAAACACGTTATTCAATAATGTAGTTCTGCAGGTTTGTTTGTTTATAATCCAATTAATGTGCCAAGGAACTCTGTAATCTTTAAATTTACAGTGCAATCCTAACCATGTCTACTCAGAAGTACATTGCTGTGAAATCAATGAGGCTTTCTCCAGGGTAAGTGGGCAGGGAAGGGCTGAAACTAGGCGGACAAAGACCCATTTTGTCACACACACACCCCTCAACACATTTGTTCATAAAAGGCAGAAAAAGTAGTTTGAAACAGGCTGGAGAAGAGATAGTCTCTCCAAATAGTAAAACTGACACTGTGTGTATCTGGCTTTCATTCAGCCTTCCAGAATATGGAAAAACATAAGGTGTCTTGGTGAGTAATTAAGTGCAGTACAGTACACAAGAGCCTCATTTATTGCCAATGGGAATCGTCCCCACAACCTTTTTTTTTAAAAAAAAGTCTACCACTATATTTCATAACTACTCCCTCTCTGCATATGCGAAAAAATCCATAAGGCCTTGACATTTATGTAAAATACATAACAATCTCAAAAATACTGCCTTGACTAAACACCATTTCCCCTTGGGTAACCATTGGCAGGGTAAATAGCATTTGTAATTTATTTTTGCATTGTAGTAGAAAAGAAAACAAACACCATGCTAAATCATGATGTAGCAACATGATGCGAATACAAAGTTTGGAAGCTTTTACTTCCGTGCTTGATTAACCATGGTTTGTTATTCTGACCCAACCAAGCATTAATCAGCTGTGGTTGACGTTAATTATGGTTTGTCTGAGCCAAGCCAACCTTTAGTGTGATGTTTAAATCCAGTCAATAGAAAACAAAAACAAATTCCTGGTAAAACACACCTATAGCCTGACACTAAAATATCCACCAGTAAACAGGATGTAAACGTGTGCTACAGAAGACAACCTCTTAAAATAGGGACTCAGAAACTATATAATATACACTATATAATAGTGTAAATGATAATTAGTAACAAGGTCAATATTGCAAACCTTCAGGATCACAGAAACACCACATTTGTCTTGTCACTAATACTTATTATGTATTTTGATACCCTTTCTATTACATGTTTAGGTAGGTACACTGTGGTGGTCTTTGTGCTTACATCTTACATTCTGGTGGGTGTACCTCTGCCATTCATCCCAACAACAGCTCATTTGTTGACTCCAATTTGTTACATTGATTTAAAACATTTATATTGCCATTCATCAAAATAGATTCCAGTGTGGTTTACAAAAAAAATGCAATTTACCTAAGAAAACAATAATGAAATAGGCAACAATTCTATAAGCGCTGAGTAGCCTCTTAGGACCACCACAATTCCAAGAAAATTTTCAAGAAGAAAAATCTGCTTACTTTAGTGTTTCAGCAAGGAAGAAGCTTTGCTGCACATCATCATATGTAGGAGCTGAAGAGTAGACATCCTTGACCCCAGAAAATCCACCACTCACTCGGCAGTACTTGTCAATGGCCTATATGGGGCGTGGGGGAAACAGAATGAGTGTTCTACTAGACACTTTTTCACTGCTGCATCTAGTTAACACATTCCGTTGCGAAACAGTGGAATCCTACCTAACCATATAGTGATGAAGACAGCAAGGGACAAACAAGACCTAACACTGGGTATTTACAGTTAAGACAAAAAAGAGAACAATTTGGTAGCTGAGGGAGTTGTATGCGGGAAAACAATATGTGAAATATTATAGTCAAAATGTCCGTTAATCTGTTCTTGCATTTAATCTGTTCTTGCAGGACATTAAAAATATGGAATTCCCAAGCTCCTGTTAATTTTTTTTGTAGAGGACTGTTTTTAAAATCAGCAACAACATAATAAGGTAAGCAGAAATATTCACTGCAAGTTATGAGACGACTCTTGCTCCTCTTAATTATTTCACTAGTACTTCATTTATGCTACTACATTTGATTGCCCCAGAATACTACTCAAAGCTTTGTTGCATAAAGCATGCAACGTGAAGATGTCTCATGCAAGGGGCTTCTGTTCGATTTCATATGATTGTCTCTTCCCACTGCAGCCCACACTGTTCAGGAGAGCCCACCCCAATTTTCTAGGGGCTTTGGTGGGGGCGGGTACAGAGGGAGACAAAAGAGAAACAAATACTGGTCTCATGTGCTGCCTTCTGTCTTCATTGTTTAGCATTTACAAAAAAACCCAGCCAATAAAACAGCCATATGGTTGTTGACACTCTCAAAGAACTCCAATGGGTTCATGAGACAGGACTTGCCCTTACGGAAGCCACGCTAGTTCTGCTTCAACAAAGGTTGTTCTTCTATATGCTTGGATATATGTTTCTATTTACTGCTATTTGTCATTTCTCCTATATGTGCATTTATGTCTCCGCTTGTGAAACAGACAGCTATGCAGCAACACAATATTCCTCACACTTCATCAGTGAGAGGCTGCCAGTAAACATTTTGACTTCCACAGAGAAAAGCTTTCTGTTGTTACCTGTGCTGCCTCCCAGCCCCACTGCCTGTATTTCGGATCATGTGTGAATCGCCACATATACCAATACGTCTCTATCACCTCTGGTCTTAAAATGTAGTATTTTTCATTTTGCCGTACTGCTACTGCCTCCACGCCACCATCAAATTTGAAAGCTTCAGGGCCCAGTTTTAATGCTGCAGAGGAAAGAGGCGGAGGGGGAGAAACATTTAATGGTTTAATTATTTATGGAAACTGGCAAAAATGACAGAGAAAATTAGGAGACAGCCCAACTAAAAGTTCCAAAAGGAATGGGAAATTTATAGAGATTACTTTTAAAAAAGTGCCCCCAGTCAAAACCTAGATTTGCTTTGATTAATTTTCACCAACCATAATATGGATTATAATTATAGTATGTGGAAAACAGCAGAAATGATGAAATGATAAAAGAAGCAGTTTAACAAATAGATAAAACAGACCCGCTTTGAGGAAGATGGAAATCTGTCAGAGAAGAAAAGGAATTGGGAATAAAGAATATGGTGACATAAGTCCATGTGTAAGAACTTATGGATTTATGGTTGTATGTATGTTTCCTGGGGGGTTTTGGTGTTTGTTGTTGTTGTTGTCATTTTATTATTTTGATTACTTTATTGTATGTTTAGCAAGTAAGAAAACTAATAAAAAGCATGAAAAATAATAACTTTTAATGGAAATTCTATATCAAATATGCTAATAACATACATTACTCTATGTTTGTTTTTAACGCTCACAGGTACTTTGTGCTTACTAGCACTTGGAACAGTTCTTAGAAATTTGCCCAGGCCTTTTGTAGTGTGAGAACACTCTAAAACCTACTGAAAGAATAATGAATGTGCACACAGTTGTAGAATTAATACTGAATACATTGAACAACTATATGATTCATTTACTAAGAATACAGAATTCACTACTCAAGAAGCTTGTTTTAAACCTGGTGTAAAAAGGAAATTTGAGGTTACTGCAAAATTATGAAACTGACATTTATAGCGCTTAAACTGAATCATGAAATCTACTAAGTAGATCAAGTTATTAAAGGCTGCTCATAGAGATAACTATGGCAAAAATATATTTTATTTCTGAGGATAAATGGCAGAGTGTTATGTACTGTAATTATGAGCAAGTCATAACAAGTGTTGGACTCCAGGAGATGCAGGCTTCATTTTTTCCTAGGCATGGTAAATGCAAAACACAATTTTGGATAATCTAGGTTTTGCTACTAGCTTCAATAAAAATACAGTTAAAATGAACTCAGATATAGATAATTTCTCAACTTACAAAGATGCATAGCATATAGTTTTATGTTCCTCATCCAGTTAAATTGTTTGAAGCTAACAGTAAGCATACTCCTACTGGTTTGCACTGTTACGGGATTTTATTGTGTAATTTAATAACCTCCTTTTCTAGCTTTCACACAATTCATGACTACTAAGAATGGATGGTGCTTTTATGCAGCTTTCTCTCTTGGCAAAACAAAGTTTAAATGCACACGTCATTAAATGAACATTCACCATTCAAACTCAAAGGGCATGAGCTAAAAAAATAATAATCTCTTACACAGTATATTTTCTCCCCATTTTCATGTACTTTCAAAATTGCTCCAAATTCAGCCACATTGCCATTAGTAAGTATTAAGGAAAAAAGCCACCCAGAACTTAAGACAGGAAAGGATACCTACTTGTCCTGTCATATGATTCATGACACGTATGTGCAATTTCTGCTCCAAGCTGCAGGTAGTGTCCAGCCTTATCATCTCGGGAACCATCTGCTCCAAGAGCAAACAATCCTCCAGCAAAACATGTGAGATGGCCCATTTTTCTCTCAAGGTGCCCATTCTTCCACTCTCCAATAAAAGTTAGGCCTCCATTGGACTTTCTGATAAGATGCTTCTCTATGGCCTATAAGAAGAAACAGAAAAGCTTTAGTTATTTCAAATATTCAAAATATTCACTATCCCAAGTGCATCCTTTATGCTTTGCATTAATTTTAACACACACACACGTGTGTATCCAAGCAAGTCTTTTCTCTCCTGCAAAACACCCAAAGAACTACATAGTTGGGTACCAATGAATAACAATGATAAACTTACAGGATGGGAATCCTCAACAGGACAGGAGTTAAGTAGCTACTTACCTCTTTGTTAAGGGAGAGAGAGAGAGAGAGTGTGTGTGTAGAAAGAAGTTACCTAGTTCCTGCTCTGTCGTGCATGATGGGAGTTAAGCATTTATCCTGCATAATCATTTCCCACAAAACTAGAGGTGGGGGTGAGGAGAAGAGCAGAGGCATAGCTTAGTGAGTCACACTTTTATTCTCCTCCCCTCTCCTCCAGAGACAGTACTATTACACTGGGGGTGTGGGTTTGTTTTTCAGAGGGGTGCGTGTAAATAAAAGGTAAAGGTAAAGGACCCCTGACAGTTAAGTCCAGTTGCGAACGACTCTGGGGTTGCAGCACTCATCTCGCTTTACTGGCCGAGGGAGCCGACATTTGTTCGCAGACAGTTTTTCTGGGTCGTGTGGCCAGCATGACTAAGCCACTTCTGGCGAAACCAGAGCAGCACACGGAAACACCATCACAAATACTGGCATGAGTCCCTTGCACATCACATGGGATTTGGAGTAGCGTACAAGCTGCTGTAAGACAAACTCCAGCTTAGAATAATAGAATCACAGAACTGTAGAGTTAAAGGGGAATCTCAACTAGATCATACATGACAGATGACGGTTCGACCTCTCCTTAAAAACTTTCCTGGCTTCTTACTTCAAGGGAAATTCAACAAATCAGGATTATTGGACATTTACTGGGAAGAGTGCAAATCCATACACCGAGAGAGAGAGAGAGAGAGAGAGAGAGAGAGAACTTTCCACTGCTATTTACAAGACCACTGATTTTTACGTACACAAAAAGCAACATAGACCAGTGGGTGGTATTCTCTCTTTTAAAAGCAAGCATATTCATGAAACCTACTTTGAATTAAAGGTAGGGTACCAGAATCAGGAACTTCACTAAGAAAAGGTAACCTATTTGAGCAAGTGGTTGGTTGAAAGTCTTGGCTCAAGAACAGTTCCCTGCTCACAAAATTTATAAAACTCTTAAGCTGGGAGGGCATTTCCATGTGGATGTTGAAGTTCTGGAAGCAGGTCTGTGTTTTACTTACAATGTAAAGGTGGGGGCAGATTCTGCCAGTGGTGGGGTTGTTGTTTTTAATTAGTCATAGTAGAAGCAAGCAGTGCTCAGTAAAGGCTGGTGTTTCCTTCTGTCAACTTTTAATGCTAATATTGGCAAATGACACTTTTCAGAGGTTTCCAGTTCAACAGCTACTCTGACACTGCAGTGATGGTAGGAATCTAAAGAACTGCAATATTTTGCTCACATGCAACATGTGGAGGACAAGTCCGGGAAGTCTGATCCAGAACGTCAACCAGTATTTTTTCAGTTACAATACTGCTGAAACAATTCAGGGTGAGGAATCACAATCCAGTTCTTAAGTTTTCACAGCATTTACACAGTTGTGTAAATATGGTGCTTACTGCAGGTCTGCACAACTTCTGGTCTACCAAATGCAGAATTCTGGCTACAGCCAAGTGCTTAATAAACCTGCTTTTGTTGCCTGCCTGAGTCTGCAAAAACAGGTTCGAGTGGTGCGGTGGGTTAGGGTTATCAAAAGCCTGTTAGTCCACAATATGCAGCTAGCAAACTGTCAAAATGGGGAGTGCCACAGTTTTGTAACTCCAGCTTCAGAACTGAATCAAGATGGTATATCTGTACATATTGTATACCTAGCTGCCCTAAAAAGAGTTAGAAACAAAATAATCATTTGCATTTTAAGGGGAGAAACATTTTTAAAATTGACATTCTCATTGTGTATGTGGGGAAGTGGGGGAAATCAATGCACTATAATCACCTCAATAGCATCATCATACATTTTCCTTGCCTCCATGTCCATCTTATCTGACATCAACCATGCTTTCAGCAAGTACTCGTAGAAACTGTCTCCCAATCCACCCATGGAAGTGTGATCTGCAACAAAGAAGGAGAAAGAGGGTAAAATTTGGTGTGCACAGGACTACCTAGATTTGCCAGGGCAAACTCCATAGAGTTATATCCAATATTACTCATACTCAAAGTAGATTCAGTGAAACGAATGCACATGACTGATTTTGTAAAACCTAGCTGGAAATAACCCTTAAGTCTGGAAAAGCAACTGTTTTAAAAATCGTCTCCATCAATCTGTGGTTTAAGAATTTGGTATACTAAAAATAACTTATTTTGCATCACAATTCATCTTACACCACTGACATGGAAAATTAATTCCTTTTCCCATCACTGATTAGCTTTGCAACGTTTTGAATTTTTGACACAAGAACTTAAATGCCTAATCCCAGACCCATGATCGAACACACGACTACATATTGGGAAACTTGAGAAGCATGTCACATAACGTGCCAATCACGGAACAGCAAAGTGGGCTTTTCATTTCATTCCATATTAAAATTATATTAGTTGACTGTTCCCATTCAATTTACGCAGTAAGGTTGAGTGGGGCAGGCAGGGAAGCTGCCTTAGACCTTGGATTCCTGTCAGAAAACACAGTATTGGACAAGTGGATCAATAATCTGACTCAGTGTATATGCAAACTGGCTCTTAGCTTATCTACTTGGCCACAATATCTGCACTGAAAGCTCTCCAGGACTGTGATCATGTTACTGCTTAATGTTCTCTCTTGAGTAAGTTAAGATAACTAATCTTTTCTGCTCTCTTCAGAGGTTTGTGTGCTGGGGACAGCAGAATAAAGCTGGTCTCTTTTCAAGCCAACTTTTGCCATCAAGGAAATCTTTTAAAACCTTAAGACTTTTTAAAGTGAACTAAGCCATCAGACTGACAGATTTGAAGAAAGTAACTACCCCCACATGCAGAACATGTACCCAGTGCTTTTTTTCTGGGGGAAAAATGGTGAGAGAACTCACCACAAAGTTAGTTAATTTACTGCGGACCCAGTCGCAGTGCCACCACAACCCCACTCCCCTGGGGCAGTGGCTAAATGTAATATGTGATTAATAAACTCAAGCCGACAATGATATGTGTTAGAAATGGCCACAACTTTATTGATTACAAATATAGGTGGATTTTTGGCTCAGGCATTGGGTGTTTATCTGTTCCAGCCCCCCCAGACAAAAAAATAAGTATTTAATTTAAAAAGAGTAAGGGAACTCAGTTACCCTGAGTTTCTGCTAAAAAAACAAAACCCTGCATGTACCTCATGGCAAAAGAAAAGTTGCTTACCAGTGACTGGTTTTTTCAGGTGGTTATCTGTGCAGCCACACATATGGGTTCTATCCTTGCACTGACCTATGTTCAGAATTTTCTAGAGTTCAACAGACATTCTGGCAGGAAATCCACTCCCATCCTCAGAGCACATGCTCTAGGTGCCTGGCTCGCACTTTCCTGCTCAGTTGCTTTTGGACCACTGCAGCATCTATATAAGGAAGTGCAGAACAAGAGCAGGAGAACAGCAGCATCCGGAGTGCAGGTGGAGGTAGGCTATGTGACTGCACAATGACCAAAGAACTGTAGTCACAGGTAAGCAACCTGCAATCTTCAGCTGCAGGTATGAAATCGAGAAAAACACTTCACACGTATAAACAAATGAACTCAAGCCCACAAAAGCATATGCCATGATACCATACGTTAAAGGCGTCACAAGACCCTTTGTTGTAATCCAGCTGCCCCTCTGGAAAGAAGTAAGTAAACCAGTTTTTCCTCTTTGTGATTTCTATGCAGTCTTACAAGTGGTTAAACTGCAGGCTGACTTACCCAAAGGCATGGCAGGTGCATAAAATATCACAGTGCTCAGCACAGCTCATCCCACAACACTGACAGGAAAGGATGAGGTTATTGGGGGGGGGGGCGTCTCCTATCTTGGCAATTGTTTAGACCATAGGTAGGCAAACTAAGGCCCAGGGGCCGGATCCGGCCCAATCGCCTTCTAAATCTGGCCCACGGACAGTCCGGGATTCAGCGTGTTTTTACATGAGTAGAATGTGTGCTTTTATTTAAAATGCACCTCTGGGTTATTTGTGGGGCCTGCCTGGTGTTTTTACATGAGTAGAATGTGTGCTTTTATTTAAAATGCACCTCTGGGTTATTTGTGGGGCATAGGAATTCATTCCTTCCCCCCCCCCCCCAAAAAAAAAGAAATATAGTCCGGCCCACCACATGGTCTGAGGGACAGTGGACCAGCTCCTTGCTGAAAAAGTTTGCTGACCCCTGCTTTAGACTCACTTGTAAGGACATTGTTTCCAGTACCACATCAGATGTTCAAGCCACTGTATGGTATCAAGCCAAAGTTAAAGAAATTTTCAGAGGATGCAGCAAGGCTGTAGACTCCTTGCCTTCTACTTCCATGGGTGTTTTAGAAATTCCTTTGGGAAACTAAGAACTACTAAAATTTAGTTAATGGACTTGCTGCTGGGATCCGATACTTCGAAGCAGCTGATTCTGATTGTGAAACTATCTACATAAACTAATAAATGAAGCTTGCACTGTGCAGCATAGATAAATAATCCTGGAAGTTACTGAAGCCAAACTCCCCAAATCAAAGCTTGATGCAATTGTGCAATGAAGGAGGCAGGACTATTATTACTATTAGCCAGGACATGATACAAGAAACCAGAACATGAAAGAGGAGGATGGAGGATGCGAGTATGAAGCTTGTTCCCAAACGCTAAACCATGGTCTGGGCTGTGATGTCTGAAATGGGTCTCAGAATGTGCCTATGTGTGAATGTGCGCTTATATGTGTGCGTGGATAGATAGATATAATCGAATTTGACATAAATGTGGAGGAACTACTCACGCTGCCCCCAGCGCCCAGTCCTTGGATTCAAGTAGTTTGGATAAAGCCCATTAGGGCGGTCCATTTTTTGAAGTAGCTTACGAATATGCATGACCTAAATGGAAAAGAAAATCATAAACACAGCTTAGTCTCAATACAGAATATAATCAAATCCTCTTCCATCAATTAAACAAGTTTAAATTAGTGCCTTAACAAATTTTGAAGAACTAGGCAGACTTTTAAATACCATTTCATTATAAATTGTCAATCAATTAATGGTCCTTGATGGTTTATGCATTTTAATATATGCATTATTTCCATTATTTATTATGATGATGATGATTAAAATTTGTACCTGCAGGTCTCAGGGCAGTTCACAACATAAAATCACAATATAAAAACACAGAATACATAATAAAAATAAAGACATTATATATAGCCACTGTCAATAAATATATGTTGTTGTTTAGTCGTTTAGTCGTGTCCTACTCTTCGTGACCCCCTGGACCAGAGCACGCCAGGCCTTCCTGTCTTCCACTGCCTCCTGCAGTTTGGTCAAACTCATGCTGGTAGCTTCGAGGACACTGTCCAACCATCTCGTCCTCTGCCGTCCCCTTCTCCTTGTGCCCTCCATCTTTCCCAGCATCAGGGTCTTTTCCAGGGAGTCTTCTCTTCTCATGAGGTGGCCAAAGTACTGGAGCCTCAGCTTCAGGATCTGTCCTTCCAGTGAGCACTCAGGGCTGATTTCCTTCAGAATGGAGAGGTTTGATCTTCTGGCAGTCCATGGGACTCTCAAGAGTCTCCTCCAGCACCAGAATTCAAATATCTACAAACTTCTTATTACACCAGAAAGAGCACAAAACTAACCTTATCATAGTAGACAGGGTTGCCAGTCAAGTAGCTCAGGTGTACAAATTCCATGTGAAGGGTGCCAAACTCAGATAGGATGCTGCTGCCAGCAGACGCCCAGCCCCAGTTGCGACCTACACCACTGGCAAGAGAAAGATTAAAGGGTAAATGCATACAAATATTTGGTACTGGTATTGTTCTATATAGGAAGAGATTTAGCAATTTATCTATGTCTGTTAAAGGCAAAGACCAATCAGTAACAGAGTACTGGGGAAGATAAGCACAAGCCAAAGGAAAAAAGTGTCCTTGAAATAATTCAAGAAACAACAGTGAAAGGATCACCCCCAAACTTGACTACTACTCAACATGATACCACAGTTAACATCAGACTCCAAAGACACCACATACAGGTATTTAATTGTGCAGAAAAATCCCTTAGCGGGCATTGAGACATCCTACTATCAGTGGCCAAACATAGGTTTTTGCTATTCCTGATTTCCAGTCTTCCTCTTGCCTCAAATCTCATACCTTTTCAAATTCACCATTGCCCAAGGAATCCCTGTGGGTGTATTGAAGGCAGGAATAAGCTTTCCTGCAAGTTGGACCGCTTTTAACTTAAAAACCTGTAACACAAGAAAGAAAGTTGAGCACTTCTCCATTTTTTTCTGTGCAATCTTATACATATCTTCTTAGAAGTCCTTATGCAAGTAAGCATAGAAAAGTGCAGGTTGGGTTATTTTAAATCTTTTCTATCCCATTCTTATTCTGATATTGGCTCCAAATGGCTCATAACAAACAATTAAAACCACCACAACAAAACATATTCAATAGTTAGTAAAAACATGAATACAAATGATAACAAATTATAAACAAAAATTAAATATTGGGAAAGGGCAATTTTTTAAAAAAAGTTTTAGCTGACACCTAAAAAACAGCATTGCAGGTTCCCTAACAAGTTCTCCATAATCTGGGTGCCACCACAGAAAAGGCCCTGCTCCATGTAACGCATCTGGGATCTCAGAGGTTGGGAGCATCCAGAGCACCTCTCAAGATAAGATCTTAATGAGATATGGGCAAGTTCATATGGGAGCAAGTGATCCTCCAGATACAGAATGATACCCAATACAGATCTTTCATGATCTGTTTCACAGGCTGCAGTTAAAACCTTGCTGCAAACCATAAACTAAGACCTCAAATTTTGACAACTGATTTCAGACAGGGTGACAAATGCTCATTCCTGTATAATTATGGGCAAATTTTGTGCCAAATTCTGCAACCTGAATATACAACTTAAAAGTACCTCACACATATTTTATTAATTTGCATGGGGAGAAACGAGTTTCCACAGTACTAAACATCCCCCATCTCTTTTGGCTCCAGATATTTCATTTTAATGCCTCTTTTTAATAAAATGAAAACAGATTCTGTGGCCAATGCCCAGCATTTTGAATTTTCTGCATTTGTACTGAATTTTGAAATTCATATCACTCCTGATTACAGCTATGAGTTTGTGGTTACTTACCTATTAGTGAGGCCTTTGAAGCAGCAAGAAAACAAGCCTTTGTTCCCTTTTAAGAAAACTATGTAAAAGTTGCACATATTTCCATGATTATAGTATAATTCACTTACCTCCTGACCTGAAAGGTAATAGGCTGCAAGCAAGCCACCAATGAAGCGGATGTTGACTTCAAAGACAGATACCTCTGAATTCTTGAGACAGAAAAAGGGATATAAGCTAGATATTAGTACAGAGTATGTAGATTTATCACAAATTATTACAGTGAATTTATTTTTTAATTAACTATGTATCCTATCCTTCTTTCTGAAGGTTCCTAGGGTGGCACCTCTTGCTTTAAATAATGAATTCCTGTTAAAGGAAAACGTTATGAAAATGATGTATAGATGGTACTTAACCCCTGTAAAACTAGCAAAGAGTGACAATTTATGTTGGAAATGTAAAGAAAAATAAGGTGCCTTTTACCATATGTGGTGGATGTGTCTCAAGGTGAAAGACTTCTGGGAAAAGAGTTATAATGAATTGAAAAAAATGTTGAAATATACATTTATTAAGAAACCAGAAGCCTTTCTACTTGGAATAATAGGTTTGGAACTGCCCAAGAAAGATGTCAGAATGTTTTTGTATGCCACTGCAGCTAGAATTTTGCTAGCCAAAAATTGGAAATTACAAGAAGTACCAACAGTGGAGGAATGGCAGATGAAGATGATGGACTTTTTGGAGTTAGCCGATCCGACCGGAAGAGTCCGCGACCAGAAGGAGGAGGAGTACCAAGAGGAATGGAAGAAATTTAAGGCTTATTTAGTTAAATATGTTAAGATAACTTAAATAGAACTACTTGTGAGTAATAGATTGGCCTGGGATTTAAATATGTGAAGTTGTATAACATTATGGATAGAAGTCAATATGAAAAGAAAGAAAGATGTTAATTGAACAAGTAAATTTTATATGAAAATAGTATTGGAAAACTGCTACAATGAGTTACATGGAAACTCAGCTAGGGGGATTTGAGGAAGTCATCCAACAATGGTAACAAAAGTGGGATTATAACAGTTAGGATATTTGTTTGTTTGTTTGTTTGTTTTCTCTATATTGTAATGTTTTTCTTGTTTGTTGTTACATTTGTTATAAATTTGGAAAATCACAATTTTTTTTAAAAATAAATAAATAATGAATTCCTGTAAATGTTTCTTTGGAGATATAAACCCATTTAACAGAACAGGTTTTGGAGTTAGTGTTACCTCCTATGCAAATTAGCAGTATATTTTTCTGGCTAAGGAGCCCTTTCACATCAAGAATGTGTTGTTTCACACATACATTAAACGTCCATACTTTATTATGAATTGATTTTAACTTTCTGTACAATTCGGCTCCCACACCCTCTTGTGAGAATAGCAAGGTGGCAAAAGAGATGTGTGCAAGTTGCAGGAACAGTGGTGTATTGTTAAGAGGAAGCTAACAGGAGTCATGAACTGCTGCCATCGTGTTTTTTTATTTTGGTGAAAAATGACCTTCTTACATAAGAGATAAAACTCTTATAGTCATATCAGTACAATTTGTTGGATTCATAACTGTGGTACATAAAGCTCCATTCAGGAAAGCTTTCAAGAGATCCAACTATCTATTATAGGGAGAGACAACAAATTGCATTTTAGAAATATTTCACAACCTGAAAGCAATGGCTAACTGAAATCTTCCATTAGCATACAAGGGATATAATCTTCTTCATAAGATATAACATCTGACTTTCTGTGGAAAGTTTAACCGCCAAGATGCAAGAGAGCTGATGTGAGCAAAATCCTTTCTCACTTTGTTTTCCATGCCCCAAGTATTCAAAATCACAGTCTCTTAATCAAGAGATCAAAAAAATAAAGGAACTAACTAGTTGGTCATTCAGTTTCTGATTGATGAGCTTTCATAGAAACACAGAACTGCAGAGTTGGAAAGGACCCTGAGGGTCATCATTCTAGTCCAACCCATTGCCATGCAGGAATCTATACATGACAGATGGCCACCCAACATTTGCTTAAAAGCCTCCAAGTAAAGAGAATCCACCACCTCTCGTGGGAATCTGTTGCACTATTGAACAGCTTTTACTGTCAGAAAGTTATTTCTGATGTTCAGTCAGAATCTCCTTTCTTGTAACTTAAATCCATTAGTTCGGGCTCTAGTCTCTGGAGGAAGAAGAGGAAGAGTTTGGATTTGATATCCCGCCTTTCACTCCCCTTCAGGAGTCTCAAAGCGGCCAACATTCTTCTTTCCCTTCCTCCCCCACAACAAACACTCTGTGAGGTGAGTGGGGCTGAGAGACATCAAAGAAGTGTGACTGGCCCAAGGTCACCCAGCAGCTGCATGTGGAGGAGCGGAGACGCGAACCCGGTTCCCCAGATTGCGAGACTACCGCTCTTAACCACTACACCACACTGGATTGCTCCATCTTCCATGTTGACAATGCTCTTTACCAGGCCAAACATACCCATATTCCTCAACCGTTCCTTATAAGGCTTGGTTTTCAGTCTTTTTATCACATTGGTCACCTCCCCTCTGCACACATTCCAGCTTGTCAATATCCTTCTTAAATTGTGGTGCCCAGAACTGGACACTGTACTCCAGTCTTATATTTGTGCAGCTAGTTCTTCCTGCCTAAGTCTACAGCTACATCTTTGTCCTGCTGAAATTCATTTTATGACTGTGGTCAATGTTTCCCAATCTGTTAAGGTCATCTTGAATCCCAACTCAGTCTTGACCAGCATTGACTATTCCCTCTCATTTTGGTGTCATCTGCAAATTAGATGAGCATTCCCTTGATCCATAAAGATGCTGAACAACATTGGACGCAGGACAGACCCCTGTGCCACCTCACTTGTCACTTTTTTCTAGGATAGTGAGGAATTGTTAGTGAGCGCTCTATGGGTTTGGGCAGTCAACCAGCTACAAATCCACCTAACAGTTACCTTGTCCAGTCCACATTTTACCAGAATGTTATGGGGGACTTTGTCAAAAGTCTTACTGAAATCAAGATACACTACCTTTCCATAATTCCCCTGATCTACCAAGCTTGTACCTGCATTAAAAAACAATAGGTGATTCATCTGGCATGACTTGTTTCTGAGAAACCCATGCTGCATCTTAGTCATCACGGCATCCTTTTCTAGGTGCTCACAAAACGACTGTTTAATTATCTGCTCCAGGACCTTTACTGGTATTGATGTCAAACTCATCAGTAGTTACCTAGGTCTTCTCTTTTTCCCCCTTTAGAAGATAGGGACAAAATTTGCCCACCTCCAGTCCACAGGCACCTCATCTGTTCTCCAATAATTCTCTATAATTTTTGAGAGGCTCTGAGGTTACATCCACAAAAGCTACTCATGTCTCTTTTGGGGGCTGAACATCAAACCAGCATCCTGCTGTGTTCTCTCTTTCATAGAAATGTGATTGCCAGTGCTGTAGGTCCCAAATTTCCTTTGAAGACACTGGATTTCTCTTCCTAAAAGAAAGGAGGGCAGCTGGGCTGGGAGAAAGCCCCTCCTCTGGGACCAGGAAAACACATTCTCTGTTATTAAAAGAGAGGAAGAATGACCTTTCCCCCTCATGCTCCTGACACCGTGTGGAACTGAAAAAGCTACTCTGCTATTAGTCAAAAGAACTAGAAGCATCAAAGCAAGAGAATTCAGTTTTGTTTTGTTAGGAAAAGCTTGGGACCAAGAAACCTAACCTGGAAGAAGAAAAACTTCTCTGTCTCCCACAGGCTGCAGTGAAGAAAGTATGGCACCAAGGATGTAGAAAGACAAGAAAAGCAGGAGGTGGGCTTCTACCATGTGAAGAACAGAAATCCACCATTACATCCAGAATTTCCTTTTCCCCCTTGAGGGAAGGGGGACAGCTAATTAAAGCAACATGTCTTAGATAAGCCTGGAGACCAAGTCCTGTGAGGAAAGGTTGAAAGGTCCTTCCATTTTGTTTTTAAATTTACACACAGTGTTTGTGAGTCATCAAAAGACACTAATCAGCTCTTTTTCAGGCTTCATTTTAGAAAGAAGAATAGTATTTGAAGTTTGATCAAGCTAAGAAGTTTCCTGCCCTTCCAACTCTACAGTTATATGATTCTATGTTTCTCCAGATAGGAAGAAATCGGACAACATACACAAAGTTCAACTTACCACACTGAAATCAAGGTGATTGTCAATCCACTCCTGCCCTTCTTTGAATTCATCATGAAGGCCCATAATGTAGAGGGTATCCAATGCATCTACTATAGTGGCACCCAGCTGTGAATTTCCTACAGAAAACCCAGAATTTCCATTATAACTAAATGTTTTACTTATGATCTTCCCCTTCAGTGTAGCCATTATTTATTTGTGACCTGGAACTATCCTTTATAAATAAATCAATTTCTCCAAGTATGAATCAAACAAATTGTTAGAGGTTCTAGTTACAATCAAGCAGTATATAAAGATTTGTTGAATGCATGAATAAAGATTTAAAAAAACATGTGGGACATGTGGGAAAAACAACAACTTCAACAAAAAGAAGAAGAGTGAATTGTCATGCCTTTAAGAACATTATTCCTTCAATGTTATTTCTGTATCACATTTGCATCTGCCTCTCCTTTGCTAAAAGGTGGGAAATGTGTCAAAGAGCAGGCTGAAGAATGGAAGAGTACCTCTTTCAATTTCCATTTTCTTGAAACATCCTTGAACAAATGTGTTACCCCAGTCTAATCCTACCTCTAGGTCAGCCTTCCCCAAACTGGTGCACTCCAGATTTTTTTGGACTACCACTCACGTCAGTCCCAGTTGGTATGGACAATGGTCAGAGATTATGGGAGTTGTACTGCATAGCATTTGGAGGGCACTGGGTTAGAGAACAGTGCTGAAGGCACTATGAGCTGCTGTTAGGGGCCTGAGAAGGTCAATTCCCTCTCCATCCATCCACCCATCCTTTTTTTTTTTCCTTATAAAAAATGACACCCTAACATTCCATGTAACAACTGTTCTCAACCATAGACTTCGCTGACAGATTTCCTCCGAAAACTCACAGATCCTTGTTGCAATACTTTTGGCTTTTCAATTTGCAAACAGATATACTTCTGCGTAGTATACATGTTGAAACCGCTACGTTATTTTTAGGTGGCTTTGTTTCATTTCCAAACTGGTTTTTTATGTATTTTTTGTTGTAAACCACCTTGATATTTTTTAATGAAATAACACACACACACACACACACACACACACACACATATATATTATATATATAACTAAAACAACAGAATCAGGTGCCCGCCTGCCAATGAATTCTCCACTTCTTACTGGAATTAGGGAACAAACGGGTACAGAAAATATGTACCAGACTGCATAAGATTTCTATCTCACTCTCACACACAAAATATGTACATGCTCCTGAAATTGAAGCTTTTGCAAAGCGGCAGGGTGGGATGGGGGAACCTTATGGAGATTTGGCACTCTGGACAACTAGACGCCCTCTAATCTGCTAAGTGAATGTGATAGTTGCCCTTAATAAATAAAATAAATCTAAAAATATCAGCAGCTTTTAAATTTTACTATTATCTCAAATTCAAGACACGGAAGCTGAGCCAATCTCTCTAGGGTGGGGAACCTCCCCCTCCCCAACAAAGAGACACATTCCCCCCAGGAGTAACATTTCAGAGGTCTATTATTTTAATTTTATGCTTTTATTTATTGATTATTTGTGCTAATAGTCTATCTTTCACTGAATGGCCTTAGGCTGGGTCACCTTTTGTGCTGATTTTAACAGCTAGGCAGATCAACCTGAAAGGAGCTACTTCAGATGTTTGGCATTGTTTGTTGTGTATACTATGCCCTACTGAATGGCTTGTTCATCTGACATTACAAAAACAAGGGAAGTTAAATGGGAATTAAAGGGATTTTCCCTAAGAATGTTAACTCACAATAAACTACAAGACGACCTGCTCATAGCCATATATATGGAGTATGGTCGAGCGTAAACAATAGTAAAGTTGAATGAAAAGCTATTTTAGGCCACTGTAGTAGAACCAGTTTGAAACAAATATGGCATGACTAGGGCTGAACTTAATGCCCTCCCCAAAGGGAGAGGAACCACCAGAGATACTGTTTGGGCCCATGGGAATGTTCGCTTGGACCTGCAGCAGCATGAGTGTCAACAAAATCACCCAATGTAACTGTATTTCAACAAACTAGACTGAATGATATACTCAGTGCTTTTTTCTTAAAAAAAAATATGTTAATCTGCTGTGTTCATTTGTTTATTGCTATATAAATGTTTTATAGGAATTATTCCTCGTGCATGGTGTATTTTAGAGTGTTCTGTTGTGTAAGTAAAACTTTGAACTTGAATCTCTGTTCCTTTGAGTCGCCAAAGAAATTCCTGTGCTCAGGCTGATACCAGAAGAATCACTTGGCAGGTAGAAGGGGAAATTCCCTGGGAAAGTTCTCCTGCCTGTAAGGACAGGCAGCTATTCATGGGTAACAGCAAGCTCACAGAACCAAGGCACCCACACTTTCTCTCTCATTCCCTTGCCCCACCTCCCAGAAACCTCTCTATCCCCACTTTCTGCTCCTTCTGGCACCCATCATTGCATAGCAAGTCTTTTTCATGGATGCATCTGTTTCTCTTGAAGCTGGTTCTATTTTTCTGACTGACTGAAGTGCCACCTGATACTAAGCAAATCTGCAAGGGGAAATTCAGCAAGTGGCAGATGAGTAGAAAGTGACAATCCCTTCTACAACCCCAAGCCAAAACTTCATGGTAACCCTAGCAGTATATAATATCCAGTCTTATCACTGAGCCAGCCAGCACTAAAAAGTTCCAGTGCTAAAGTTCACTCATAACCTTGCCTTAGCAGCAGCAGCCTCCTAAATTCAGTGCCAAAATTCAGCCCTTCCCTTTGCACTCCATGGCTACTGCTCCAAGTCAAATAAGTTGTGATCATGCTACCAAAAGGTTTAGCTTTCAAGGTGCCACAGACAAAAAACGAACAAACAAAAACTGGTCATTCTTCATTCAACTGTTAGTAAAATTTCTTAAGGCAGAAAATTAAAATGGGCATCTTACTGGACAAACCCATATTTTCTTTCATTTAAATGTTTGTAGTAAAAAAAAAAGCAACATAAATGTTGTTTGAGCTTATTTACCATGTACATAAGGGTGGTAGGTGTCCCAAAAAACTGGAAGAAGGGAGAAAATGTAAAAAGCTGGGGGTGGGAATCACAAGTTAAAAGTAAACAATAGCTTCCAGGTTTTCATCAACCTGCATATAGAATGAAAGTGCAGTGCTGCACATCTCTATTCAGAAGCACCACTGAGCTAAGTGAACTTAACGGTAACTTAACAGTAATTGTGTTGACAAATGCATATAATACTGTTTCAATGCATACAATACTGTTTCAATAGCATGGTAGGACTACACAGCTGTGTAGTCAAAATTAATGCTTAGCTGCCTTCCCCAGCCATAATGTGTAGCCCCTGCTGATGTAGTGATTACAGCTTGGTGATTTAACTTTGTCATTACAACATGGATACAAATGTAATTTAACAGCCTGCCCCCCTTAGGTTACTGGGGTGTGGTGGGGCCATTCCAGGTAGAAAAAACTGACTGACAAAAACCAATAGAAATAGGACAAAGAGGAAAAAAATATTTAACAAAATACGAAGGCAGGCAATGAAAGGCTAATGTACAGATTACAGAATTGCAGCCCTCCTTAGAGTAAGGCTATGTATTATTTCACGGGCAGTATTCTGGTCCATTCCTTTTCCCATTTCAGAAGTGAGAGACTCTTGAGTTAAAATTCTGGAGACTGCATGGCATGTGGGACTGCCTATTTCCAATCTAATCTTAGAGGAGTAGGCTTCATAGGAGAATGGAGTCTTGAGTGGTTGCCAGGGGACAATTCTTAATCACCACAGGCAACTGAGTAGTGAATTGTTGACAGTGGGGGGGGGGGGGCAATGCTAGGGAGGCAGTATACAATCAAAGGAGGCTCTTTAGGTGCTATGCAGGTAGCACCAAGGCGTACTGTTAACAAGAAGAAAAACAATGGCTGACCCCCATCTCTAGAACCTCAAAAGATGCTCGTGAACCAGGTCTGTTCCTTAAGTGAAATATACAGGCACCTTGGTAGGCAGAAAACAGTAAAACTAGGCAGTGTTTATATTAGAAGACTAAATTTAATTTTAGATGGTGTACTAGGTAGAAGATTGTGACCAGATGTTCCGTTTGCCATCTAGTCTGATAAAGAGTTCTGGTGAACCCAACAGCTTGCACACTATTTTATGTTATTCTATTTAGCCTAATAAAACTACTGCCCTAGTACAGATTTAGGAATTTTTATTATGGGCCAACATGGCTACCTCTACTTTTTGTCTGAATTAGAAAATATAGCCATTCAGCTGTGAGATCCTAAATTAGAGCTAGAGGATCCTTGAAGTGGGAAGATTCTTTCCACCAGTAGAGCATGGGACTCTTAATCTCATGTTTGTGAGTTTGAGCCTCACCTTGGGCAAAAGATTCCCACATTGCAGGGAGTTGGACTAGATGACCCTTGAGATCCCTTCCAACTCTACAATTCTATGATTCTACCCAATTGGGCTTCTACAGCATTGACTTTTTACCTAGCACAAAACCTAAAATTAATGTCCACCTTTGCTAACATAAAGAGTCCCTAGTTTCTCTTGATTCCTATTGTGTAGCTATGCAGCCTGTAATGACTATCTCCTATACTTCAAATTTTTAGAGGACAGTCATCTTTATGAACTAAAATGTTCACATCACACCTTCTTCTGACAGTCACCAGTTTAAGCTATTAAATCATAAAAGCAGTAATAAAATTTGATTTCCAGTTTGTAATTCTGGATCCGTATCTATGGTTGAAGAGAAAATTAGGCTCAATTTGTGACAAACAGCCCTACTGATAAACTTGTGCAAAAGCAAGAAACAAATACTTATTAGAGAAGATGCAATGCAGCAGACAGGGGTGGGGTTTGTCTCCATGGATAGGAAGCTGGGCTTATTATGTAACAAACAAGGTTGGGGTTATATCCATGATGTGGGGGTAAGGCTGTCAGGAACAGCTTACCATGTAGCAAGCAGAGCTTGGGTCCCAGGGGCCTAAGCTTTGAATTAAAGGGGGGAAAGGGACAAAATCTCTTTTACAAGAAGAGGAAGAAGCAGCCTGTGGTTACAGTTCCTAGTAAAGATTAAGGGAAACTGCCAAGAAGGATGTTTCTGTTTCTAGCCAGCTTGTTCCTGCTCCTTATTCCACCTGTGCTTGCTCAGAACCCTGGGGTCATCCGTATCAGCCCAGAGAAAGGAGGAGATTACTGCTTCCTCTTCCCTTCACAGTGGATGAAATCACGTCAAGAGGGTAACAAAAATCGCTGGCTTCACCCTGCGCTCGGAACTCAGAACATCAGTTACTCAGCCATGTGTTGCCCACCTTCGTTCTTTGGGGAGGAAGACAATGATGGTGGTGGATTCAGCACACGAATTGCATCTGTAAGGGAGGGCAACTGCAATCTCTTTGAGAGTGCCCGACTCCATCAAATTAACCAAACCCAGGGGCTGTTGACTCTTGGTGGAGATGCTCCCTATCTCGTGAAAAACCGGAGATCCAGATATAACTGGGGTCACTGTGAGGAGGTCACAATCTCAGGAATTCTTCTCCAAGATGTGGACATTCTCTATTTATTGTTTAAGAACTTGATCAGGGACTTGCTACACAAAACTGGGGTCATTTATCTGATGTCAATGTTCATAGTCACCATGGGAAGCTACTGGGCAGGCAGAACAGAGAGAAGAAAGCAACAATATATTGAAAGCCGATTCCAAACGGAAGACGATGATTTTGGTGAGATAACAATTGACACCAATGCCTACTTCACATGTACTTGCACAGTAATGGCCACCTTCATGCTACTTGCTCTGTACTATTTCTATGATTACCTGGTACATGCAATGATTGGCATTTTCTGTCTATACGCATCTTTCAGTCTACATGGTTGCTTAGCTCCATTTGTAAGCAAGCTTCCATTTGGAAAACGTGTAATCCATCTCCCATTTTTTCACAAAGGTCTAGAGATCAGAACATTGCTTCTAACTGTCCTGTGTATAGCCATCAGTGCACTTTGGGTCATCTTCAGAAATGAGAATGAGTGGGGCTGGGTTTTGCAAGATGTTCTAGGAATCTCTATTGGCATTTACATTCTGAGAACAGTTCACATGCCCACCTTAAAGAACTGTAGCTTGTTTCTGTTCGCTCATTTGTTTTATGATGTACTCTGTCTGTTCGTCACTCCTTTCCTAACCAAAGCTGGAAAAAGCATCACGGATGTGACAGCTTATGGGACACCAGACTCTGAAGAGATCCCCTTTCTGTTGAAAGTACCAATATTACCCTCAACATCCATTTTTGATGACAGTTCTTTTACTGCCATAGGCCTTGGAGATATTATACTTCCTGGTTTCCTGGTAGCCTACTGCCACAGATTTGATGCTCAAGTCAACTCCTCAGGGATCTATTTTCTAGCTTCTACTCTAGCTTATAGCTATGGTCTTATGGTGACCTTTGTTGTAGCAACATTCTTACAGACAAGTCAGTCAACTCTCCTATACCTGGTGCCCTGTATACTCACTACTACTATGGCTGTTGCTGCTTCTCGCAAAGAGTTCATCCTTTTTTGGACAGGTGTTGTCTCTGCAGAAGACCTGTCTGAACCTTCTTCACAAAAAGACATCAAGCACCCAGATACATTAAAACATTTAGAGGGACAACTCTGTCAACAAGAAGGAAAACAAATCTCCAACATCACATTCCTCAAGGAAGATATGACTAGTTCCAGCATATCCACAGAAGAATTATCTGACCTGGACACACTGAGAGATGAGATGACTAACTGCATTCTAAGTCAGAGAGAAGAAGATGCTCCACATGAGGGCTACGAAAACAAAGAGGCTTGAGAAGCACAGAGACCACATTCTGTGAGGAAAAGGGAGGGGAAAACACCTCACATATATATGCCACTGGAACATTTTGTGAGACAAACAGGGCACTTCAGGTTGAAGAAATACAGGTCCATTAAACCACATTTGGAAATAAAGCTACTCTGTCACTCTTGCTGTGAAATTCAATAAATTAAAATGCACTGTTCTCATCTATCCCTCTTAACCCTGTCAGGCCCTAACGTGACCAAGAAACAGAACCCAGGATGTGCACCTATCTAGTCATTGCCCCCATAGCATTCTCCCAACTTACAGAGGAAGAGGATCAAGGGTGAAAGCTCAAGGAAAAACACAGGTATATGGAGACTTTTGTAAGCGAGTACAGTGGTACCTCAGGTTACAGACGCTTCAGGTTACAGACTCCACTAACCCAGAAATAGTACCCCGGGTTAAGAACTTTGCTTCAGGATGAGAACAGAAATCGCGCGGTGGCAGTGCAGCGGCAGCGGGAGGCCCCATTAGCTAAAGTGGTGCTTCAGGTTAAGAACAGTTTCAGGTTAAGAACGTACCTCCAGAACGAATTAAGTTCTTAACCCGAGGTACCACTGTAGAATGCCAAACTGTAGGCTGTACTTGTTGCTTATATGGGACAGAGCTTGAGGTATTTATTATTTCTGGTTTTTTGATGAATAAGGTAAGTAAACATCTTAACTTTTCTCTTAAACTGAAGGATTTTTGGTCCTAGTATGTCCCTGTTTTTGAAAAAGAACCTCACTGAGTGACTTAAGTCCTCTCCTCTTGCAGGCATAGTGGGAACAGAGAGGTACAATTTTTAACTGCATTGTGACTGCAGAAATCTTAGCATATGCACCGCAACTTAAGGCATTTAAAGAGCTTTATATATATATTCTACATGTCAACCCTGTACAACAGGCTTTTTATTATCATCCCCATAGTATCCCTGTTTTTATTATCTTCAGAGTTTGTCCAATAGTTTAAGAAGCCTATGTAGTCTACCATTGCTATCAAGCTGCAAATCCAGGCAACATGGAAGAGATCTCAAAAGTTGTGCAGAACACGTCTCTAGATGAAGTAAGCAAGGGCAAAGACTGAAGATCAAGTGAAGTCATCATGCCAGCTCTTCCCTCTCTCTCATACACACAAATGCCCCAGCAGGACTTCATACATAAATATATATGGTGGCATAGCACATGCACACACAGCAGCTTGCCACACAAAAATCTGAGTGCATTTCATCAAATGTAACCATGAAACAGATTTGTTTGCAGAATGTTAATTCAAAGAGCCAACTATCAGAACGACAAAAGTCTGTGTTATACAAAAAAAACCTGTTGTACAAATTTTGTGTTTGCAATGACTAGCAGAAAATTTAGAACATTCATTATCATAAGAAGTCAGACATGCACTGATGCATTTGCACAATAAAATTCAAGAATAAAACAGGATTGCACTTAATTGTAATTGCTATTCTTGAGTGGTTATCTACCGGATTACACATGAAATCTCTTAAGTGGGTTAACAGTTCTCTTTCGTTAACTTTTTCAAATTCCAATGACACAACAGGATAAGCAATGTATTTTATGTGGAATTTTCAAAATGAGTTTTTTAGAACGACAACTTACCAAATATGTTGGTGGAATGTCCTTTCCTAGCAATGGGTTTCAGTTCATTATGTCCCCATCCATATTGCCGGTAATTATCCCAGGCATGTTTCATCATCTAAGGAATGGAAAACAAATAAAAATTAACACAAATTAACCACTCAACTAAAATATTTGTTTCAGACACAGATTCTCTCTATATATAAACAAAGGTAAGCAACAGAGTACAACTGTAATTTCAACTGAAATATATCTGTAAATGTTTCAGATTCAATTCTTGCAAAATATTCTGTGCTGTCAAAGTAAGTAACTGCTTCTGTAAAGGGATGGAAGACTAGCAGTGATTAATGTAAGAGGCAGCTAATCCAATAAATCAAAAGGTAAAGGTTTAAAAATATAAAGGACCCCTGGACAATTAAGTCCAGATGAATTTGACTATGGGGTGTAGCGCTCATCTGACTGAGGGAGCCGGTGTTTGTCCGCAGACAGCTTTTCCGGGTCATGTGACCAACATGACTAAACTACTTTTGGCGCAATGGAACACTGACAGAAGCCAGAGTGCACGGAAACGCCGTTTACCTTCCCACCGCAGTGAAACCTATTTACCTACTCATGCTGGTATGCTTTCAAACTGCTAGGTTGGCAGGAGATGAGACAAAGTAATGGGAGCTCACCCCATCATGTAGATTTGAACTGCCAATCTATTGCAACCCTGCATCCCCTGCCAATAAATCAAACAGGTTAAGTAGAAGAAGCTAATCAACTTGCAAAGGCCAACACATTCATGAGAATCACTGTTGAAATGCATTTCTAAATATGGTTCCAATGTCTTTCTTTTATTACCTTTTTTTCAAAACACATATTCCCAATTTGCCTCTCATTATTTCTCAGAGTAGCGTAGCATTTTCTCTCTGACTCTGACTCAAATTTGAACAAAGCAACATACTCACAAAATGAAATTGTATGCCTGGTATCCCTAATCACCAGCCAGCCAGCCACCTGCCTCTCAATGCTTCCTGCTGCCTCTGTGAGTCAAAGCAGCAGTGTCTCCATTGATTTGCATAAGGCAGAACACTGTATTCCTGAAGGCTTCCCCTCTCTGCCATTTTCTCAAGTCAATGGAGGAACTGCTCCATTGACTCGAATGGGGAGAAACAGTTGAGTGGTGTGTATGTGTCTTGAGTCTGTGTTTTCACATAGGCAGACACACATGGGACACTCCCAATGTTTTGTGATTAGCCATACCCCCACAGCAGCAATCCCCTACCCACTACAGCCATTTTATGGTCATGTACACGACACTTTAAAAACATCCAAATTGGTTCACAGACCCAGAAAGCCTAGAGACCTCTGTTGAATTTCATGACTATGGTGGTATAGGAGCAAATGCACAGAAGAAAAAGTATGACTGGGGAAAAACAGCAAGCTGTTGAAAGCATTGTGGGCATTAATATATGTTTCCTCTGTCAAAGAGGAAATTTAAGGTAGAAATTTCATTAGCATAGCTTAACACATTTTAATGCAACATTTAAAAAATATTGTCAGTAATATTCACTCTACCCCAGAAAGGGAGCTCCAGGACAACAGATTAGAGGAAAATGCCAGATTACAACAAAAGAAAAAGACACAAAAGATCTACGTATAATAATTGTCTTACGTACTTATGCCTCCAAAAAGCAACCGCCACCTCATCATGACACTTAAGATTTCCTCATGAGGTCCTGTTCCAGATTCTATCTCATGAGTTTCTTATTAGCCTCCTCCAGAGGCAGAAAATGTTCTATAGGGGTCAATGATGAACTTCCTCCCAAAGCAGCCCAGAAAATAAGCCCAGATTATGAAGCAGAATATATTAAGCCAATTCCCACATGAAATTAACTTCTATGACTATCACAAACAGTATGGTTTCTATTCACAGAAATAATCCTAGCATCACGAACTACAGCTAGGTAATGATAAGATGACGCAAGCCATTACCTCTTTAATTTTGTCCCTTTTTTCTCGGATGTCTGGATCCACTGGATCTCCACTGTTTATCCCTACAAGATTTGGTACCGGGACCTGTGGCAAGGGCTTACTGCTTTTGTTCTTCAAACCCTTTACTATTTTGTTCTTCTCAGTTTGAATTTCAGCCTGGATCTCATCCCGTGACTTCTGCAGTTTCTCTTTTGCTTCCTCCAAAGCTTTTTCATGATCTGCACGAATTTTATTTCTCAAGCGTTCCTCTTCTTCTCTAAATAAACAAATAATAGTCATTAAGCTCTGTTTTTAGAGCTTAGGGCCAACCGTTAGAGCTAATCTGTTATACAACCATCATCTATTTCTTATTTCAACTGTAACCGAAGACGTTCTGCCAAATATATACAAATGATACATCTATTAGTATTAGAAGACCACTATATGTTGTAAGAAATGGTTGACATTAGAGCATTTCAGAAATTCTAATGATTAAATGGGACTTTTCACATATGCAAGAATTTCATTTCATTTGCCGTCACTTGCAGCCGAATGAACAGATTTCATTGAAAAACACTGTTACTGATGTGAGGCTACATGAAAGTGCTATCTACAGCCTTTATCTGTTAAAGTGCATTCACACACCATGCATGTATCAACAAGCCCCAAAGAAAACTGAAGCTCTGATAAGGTTTAGAGCATGGGTCGCTAACATGGTTCCCGTAGGCACACACATGCTTACAGTCTACTGGGTCCTCTCCCCCACTGAAGTTAAGCATACTATTTTTGTCAACAAAATAGGTGGCGTTGTGTGCTTGAGTGTGCTGTGTGTGTTGCTGTGCCCACAACTGTTTCTCTGGTTTGCAAATGTGCTCCCAGCCAACCCCTAATTTGAATAGAGCAAATGAGGAGGCCCTAAATGGCAAAGCAACTAGCGCAGCAATCGACATTATCCCAAGAACGCTGCGTATGAAGTCTTTCTATTTACTTTTGTTGCAAACCAAATTATTAAAGGTATGCTTTTTGAAAAGAGGTTTCCAACCTTGTTGAAAGGATTCTGCAGCAAAACTCTCAGGCCCCAATTAAGACTTGGCCAGATATATATGCCTACTATTGACAGAAACACAATGTGGGTAGGCATATCTGCATCTGGATGCAAATCCACTTCATGCCCTCAACTCTACATTCAAAGAAGGAAATCCATGTGCATCTAATTTAGAAAGCTGCAGCAATAATAAACAAATATCACCAGCAATTTACAGTTTTCACCTTATTACTGCAGAAAGTAGTTACACAACAAGTTTTTGGCACAAATAGGGTAATGCAACAGCAATCACAAGATAAGGAAGATCCACATCTGTGATTGGAAAACTGGCACAGGCATTTCAGAGAACTGCACAATTCTATGTGTGTCTACTCAGAAGTAAGCCCCACTATGTTCAATGGGACTTACTGCTAAGTAACCATGTTTAGGATTGCAGCCCAAGAGTCCCCTGATAAACCTGATTTAAAAAGGATTTAAAACTCATCAGAAGCTTGGCATGATGGATCTCTGCTTCCTGCTTATCCCACAAGCTTTAGAACTACTCAATCCTATTGAAAAGGTCACAAAACATGTGCTGTGAAAACGAAAATATCACTCTTGACATATTAACATTATATTACTAGTTATTTTAAGTGTGAAAAAAGTCAAAATCATTTAAGATTCCATCACTTCTCTTCATTTCAACAATGACAAATAAGTCTTCTCAACAGTAGATTAGCAGTTAACACCCCATTTGCAACAAATAGCAATAGGCATTAAACTTTGAAGGAATAGCAACACCTGTGACATTAAACTCCATGCCCTTGAGACTTGGATAACACCATGCCTAACTCCCACTGCAAACCAGAAACCTACTGTGAGTTTAACCCACTTTTTGAGAATCACAACAATACTATAATTCAACACAGTAGGCTGAAAGGGTGTGTGTGTAATCCTTTGGGGCTTGAAGGCCGCATTTAGGATTTGACAAGCCTTTCAGGGGTCACATGCTAGCCAGAGTCCAATTCACATGCACATACACACAGCACAGCGGGGGGGGGGCACACAGGAACCTGCACTTATGTGTATACGCATACAAATACACATGCGCACACAGCAGAGGGGCAGGCTCAGGAGCAGACAGACATGCTCAGTCAGTAGCATTTCTACTCTGTAGGGCAGCGCTGCAGTAGAAGAATCTCCCTCTACCCCAGCATGTCGGGGGGGGGGGAGAGGACAACTGTGTTGCTGTCTACAGTTGCAAGAGTGTAGGAGGGTCTCCTCCAGTTCCAGGAAAGGAGAAACAAAGCCTCTATTTGGGAAATTGTCATTTTTCCTCCTAGTTCAGCACCATTGTTAGAAGGTCTAAGAAAGGGGGAGGGAAATAGTTTCTGCCCACTTCCTAAGTCTAAGGCAGGCACATCCAACAGGTAGATCGTGGGGTGTTCCTGGTAGATCTCTGGCCACTTAGTGATCTACTCCCCCCACCCCCAAAAAAGCTCTACAACTTTGGCTTCCCCAAGAAAGCTCAAGAACTTTGCCTTTCCTAAAAAAGCTCAGCAACTTTTGGTTCCTAGCAAAATGGTGGGCCATCAGATTAAGTTTCACGACCGGACTAGAGATTCAGGACCCTCAATTGTGTTTTATATAATCAACTTTCAATTATGTTCTGTGTATATTGCAATGCTCATTCAGTTCCATTCAATGGTTCTCAACCTGTGAGTCCCCAGATGTTGTTGGACTACAACTCCCATCATCCCTGAGCTCTGGCCTTGCTAGCTAGGGGTGATGAGAGTTGTAGTTCAACAACATCTGGGGACCCACAGGTTGAGAAAAGCTGATCAGTTCCATTCATTCATTTGCTCCCTAAAAAAAAGCTCAACCACCTTGTCTCCCCCCCAAAAAGCTCAACAACTTTGATCCATCCACCAACAATGGGTAGATCACTGCCAGTTTTTTTACACTGTGAGTAGATCACAGTCTATTGGGAGTTGGACATCTCTGGTCTAAGACATTCCAACAATGGCACTGAAGGGGTAATTGGTTTAAACTATTGTTACTGCCAAACTACTCCCATTTTTAATGTGACAAGGTTAAGTCTGCATTCCTAGAGCAAAAGGGGTCCCTGGTTGTTCAACCCGAATGTCTGTGCAGAACCTGGAAAGACAGTGGCTAGAAAAGGAGTTGAGGGAAGAATTCTGAACTGGTTTCCCTCTGTCCATTGACTGGTTTCAAGTCATGCTACAACTCCAATCCTTGACAACTATATTTTTATAAACTTCCAGCGGTACCACTTTAATCCATATTAACATACTATCTTCTATTGTTTCAACTGTGTCATGGAATTTTCTGCTAGACTGATCTGAAGCATTACAATAGGACATTAATAAAGAAGAACTTTAGAAGTTCTGAATGTTGAATACTTTAATCCTGCTTTCATTCAGAGGGTAAAGCAAAAAAACAAACAAACAAACAAACAAAAACAACAAAAACAATCCCAGGTGGAAATATGCACTCCTCTTTAAATAAGAGTGCAGGTCAATACTCTTCCTTGCCCATTTATGAATGCTAGCTCATGAGAAGAGTCTAGTAGTGGGGTACTTACTCCACAATAAATTGCAGAAGTTGTGAACACCCCAGTTCAGCCACAATATAGTATCTCACATTTATTAAGCTAAAATAAATGCAAACCTTGCACCCAGACACCCTACTCTTGCTGAACCCTTTCCCACTCCTTCTCCATGCACAACCAAAGACTGCCTAAGTAAATCAATTAACCAGTTTCCCAACATGCCTGAAACTGGGAAACACCAACTTCCAATTATTTCAGTTCCTGGTTTGTTGTAAAGGTGGTAAAAGGCTTTGACAAATCCACTCACCAGGGTAGTTATAGCTAAATGCTTCCTGTTTTGGCGAGTGTATGAGGTAATTGCAAGATAATGCAGGCAACTCATTGTGGGTGTCAGCAGTCGTGCATAAGCCCATTCTGCCCCCGCCCCTTCCGGGCCGAAAGAGTACGTGTGAGTACTTGTGTGTCAATCAGACATGTGCAAAATGATTGCTGCCTGTAACTAGGTTCAGGAAAGCATTTTGGTTTTACTATTGTGCATTTTACCTATGTTAATTAATCAAAGCAAGTAGGGATTCCATTTTAAAAACAATGCTGGGGGGCTGGAAGATGGAGCTTGATTTTTTCTTTCAGACGGTAACATTTTTGCAGTCAGAGTTTTTACTTGAATGAACTGCAAGGGGATAAATACTAAAAATAAAAAAGAGTAAGAGTAAGGAAAAGAAGCAAGCAGAAACTTGATACTACTCTTTTCTTCTTAGATAGGGTTGCTACTTCAGACTAGCCATTTAGATACTTCTTTGTAAAATTATTTTTCCTGCTCAGAACTAAAGATTGCATTTGAACTGGCTGAAGATAAGCCTTGGTTTAAAAAAATATTTAACTTTTTTTACAGATTGAACCTATGCAAAAGCATAGGTTCAGAATCAAGCACCACGGAGTTCAGTGGGACATAGACTACAATTATACATAACTTACCAGAGTATTAGAGTGGGTTGAAAATAGTACAAATAAATCATATTAACAAACTCTGATAGTACAGAGTTTGTCAAACTTTGGATTTTCTCACCTGGCATTAAGAGAAAAGTGGTATCTGCTTGTGATAGCATTATTATCTATTTTTATGCAGTTGAAAGAGGAAAGAAATTGACCCTAAATCAGGGTTGGCTAACCTATGGCTCTCCTGATGCTGTTATCGACTACAACTCCCATCATTCCTCACCACTGGCCATGTTGTCTGGGACTGATGGGACTTGGAGCCTAAAGCTTATTTAATTCTGGTTTAAAACTAACCAAGCCCACTGTAGCTTTTCAATATCCTATGGGCAGAGAATGTGAGTGATCCAGCTTGGGAAAAACTGAGAAGCAGGTGTTATCCTATGAAAACTCATGTCGCAAACAACTTTAATCTTTAAGATGCCCCAACTCTCTGATAATTCTTCCTTCATTTTTGTTATAAAATTTCTTAGAAAATCAAAATAAGCATCTTATTGGCAAAATGCCATGTTGCCTCTACATTTTATAGTCCTATTAGAAATAGTTATATAAATATTGTTTTGTACAAGTTCAAATAGTATATATATATATATATATATATATATATTTGTGATGGAGGAGATAAGTCTTAAATTTTTGAAAGCGAGAGAAAAACCTGTCAATAGGTTCAAACAAAAAAAATGTTTTCAAGCTACATAGAGTGTTATGTAATTTCATCAGTTAGTATATTTGTTGACAGTAGTATATGCTTCATAGCTGGCTAATAAAAACAAAAACTTGGCTACCAAGCCCTGTTTGATAACCCCAATTTCCAAGTTCAGGAGCAGGAATGAACCCAGGAATTATTCAGTTGTGGTGCATGAAGAAGGAAAGAATGAAAGAACAGCATGAGACACAAACCAATATGTGTCAAGTTCAAATCAATGCAGTGTGTTTTCTTTAAAAAATGCAACCAAGGAAATAGCAAAATGTAAAATACAACATACAAAATTCTATGGCTATAACCTCAATGGTTTTCTGAAAAGAGCAAATATCATTTCCCAACATTTTATTCTACACAGAAAACTGTACCACATCACAGGATCCATCTGTCTGTTCTGGCCTTTGAAGACTAGGAATTGAGTGAGTTCAGCTGATGTGTGTGTCATAGAATCATAGAGTTGGAAGAGACCACAAGGGCCATCGAGTCCAACCCCCTGCCAAGCAGGAAACACCATCAGAGCACTCCTGACCTATGGTTGTCAAGCCTCTGCTTAAAGACCTCCAAAGAAGGAGACTCCACCACACTCCTTGGCAGCAAATTCCACTGTCAAACAGCTCTTACTGTCAGGAAGTTCTTCCTAATGTTTAGGTGGAATCTTCTTTCTTGTAGTTTGGATCCATTGCTCCGTGTCCGCTTCTCTGGAGCAGCAGAAAACAACCTTTCTCCCTCCTCTATGTGACATCCTTTTATATATTTGAACATGGCTATCATATCACCCCTTAACCTCCTCTTCTCCAGGCTAAACATGCCCAGCTCCTTAGCCGTTCCTCATAAGGCATCGTTTCCAGGCCTTTGACCATTTTGGTTGCCCTCCTCTGGACACGTTCCAGTTTGTCAGTGTCCTTCTTGAACTGTGGTGCCCAGAACTGGACACAGTACTCCAGGTGAGGTCTGACCGTTAGGTTCAGTGTCGTTAGGTTCATTGTGTTAAGTTATAATGTTGATGAATTTGGTTTTTATTTTTCGCTGTAAGCTGCAGCAAAGTAAAAGTGGGGTAAAATTATTTAAAATAACTGAAGATCCTGCCAGTAGTTTTTCTAATTATGTTTGCTACTACCTTAATGTTATTCTTCAGTAGTAAAATGATTTCATTATATACCTTTGCTTCTTGTATTCCATACTCAAATTCACCTAGACTTACTTCTGAATAGACATCATTAGGCTTGCCCCATAAAGCCATAAAATAAGGTTCAAAAATAGTAATTTTATTACTGAACTCCTAGTGTAATTCATTTTTTCTCTCCCAGTGCAGACTCTTTGTACTGTCCTTTGTTCTTTTGGTGCTGCCCCTCTTTTATCCTGTTCCATTTTCTAAGAGCATTGTATAAAATGACACACCAACTCTACTCATAGCTGGGTATTAGTGCATATGGAGGATATTCTAAAGGTTTATATAATGCCAGGGTTTGTGGCACAGGTTCCTGCTGTGAGGACTTATATATACTCTTTTCTCCCAAGTTGTTACATAGCTCTTCAGGTTATCAGACACAATAAAGATGTAACAATGTTTTTCAGTCTGTGGAAGTTCCTGCTGTGCCTACATCTAATAAGGGCAGGCGGTAGATCAGTCACCAGCCCCACCTAAAACAATGGTGAGGAACCCAGCGTCCATAAGAGGCCCCCCAGAACATTCCCTAGGCCACACCCCTCACTGACCTGTCTTTGTACCCTCTTTGAGTGTTTTTGCCTAGCTGGAATGTGTCCTTGTATTCTGATAATGCCTTTTGGTTCCCTAGAGGAGGACAGAGAAGGGTATACAAGTGCATGCAGAAAATAGCCCACTTTTGCCTCTGGTCTTACCCACCACTGGCATGTGGTCCCCTGCAGGTTGCCAAGAAGTGAATGCAGCTGAAATAGGTTCCCAGCCTCTGATCTAAAGTATTCACTCATTCCACTCCTAACAGCACCAAAGACTTGCCCCCAAAGGAAAGACCATTTAACTTCCCACTGCCCCACCTCAAAATGGCAGGAGACAGATACACAACTGGCTTTCATTAGTCTAAAATCCAGGCTTGCTTTCCATGGGGACAGCCACTGCTAGCAGGGACGGGGAGAGAAAAAGGAAACAAGAGCCCATGTGAAGCAGCAGTTAAGAGTACTGACGGACCAGGGTTCGAATCCCCCGCTTGGTCATGAAGCTCTCACTGGGTGACCCTGGGCCAGTCACTGCCTCTCAGCCTAACACTCCTCACAGGGTTGTGGCGGGGATTAAATGGGTAGTGGAAGGAGAAATATGCATACCACCTTGAGCTCCTTGAAGGAAAGGCAGGATTTAAATACAGGAAGTAAGGTGCACTGGCGAATCAGGTCTTGACAACTCCTCTTTCTGTACACCTGTGATATGAACGTAACCTGACAGCACACAGTGATTCTTCACCAAAGCCGCACACCACATTAAGCCAGGGCTGAAACCTATTCCTGTATACAACACTCCCCCTCTTGTTGTCAGCATCTGTCTGTTTTAGAGACACAATGGAGTGCACCTCCAAGGCTGAAGTCAAATTGCTGCATTAGCACTGACATGTCCTCCCCAGGCTGCAAGCTTAGGCGGTGTGTATGGAGGTCCTGAGCTGTCCAGAGGACAAGACCTCCCTCTCAGCCTCACTGATGTGGTCCAAAGGAAAGCAGAGCAATACGCTTGGCACCAGCTTGGCTGCAGGAGTTGCTGGAAGAAGGCATACAAAGTGCCACCCAACAGTCTTAGGGTTGCCACTCTGGATTTGTGAATGGCTTACTCCATAGCCTTTTCTTCTCCCAAAAAATATCCCACAAGGCAACAGCCGTTTAGGATCAGTGTCTTCCTTCTCCTGGATGAGATACCTTCCCAGGTGGACAAGCCCCATCTGCCCTCATGACTCTCTATATAGTCCACTATGCTGAAACCACCTTGACCACTGGACCCACTACAGTGGTGCCTCGCAAGACGAAATTAATCCGTTCCGCGAGAGTCTTCGTCTAGCGGTTTTTTCGTCTTGCGAAGCAAGCCCATTGACGGATTAGCGCTATTAGCGCTATTAGCGGTTTAGCGGCTATTAAAGGCTTAAAGGCTTAGGGATTAGCTGCTAAAAGGCTATTAAAGGCTATTAAAGGCTTAGCAGATTAGATAAAGGGGGAAGCGAAAAAAATCTCAAGACTCGCAAGGTATTTTCGTCTTGCGAAGCAAGCCCATAGGGGAATTCGTCCTGCGAAGCAACTTCAAAACGGAAAACCCTTTCGTCTAGCGGTTTTTCCGTCTTGCGAGGCATTCGTCTTGCGGGGCACCACTGTACAGTGGTACCTCGGGTTAAGTACTTAATTTGTTCCGGACGTCCATTCTTAACCTGAAACTGTTCTTAACCTGAGGTACCACTTTAGCTAATGGGGCCTCCCGCGGCTGCCGCACCGCTGGAGCACGATTTCTGTTCTCATCCTGAAGCAAAGTCCTTAACCCGAGGTAATATTTCTGGGTTAGCGGAGTCTGTAACCTGAAGCATATGTAACCCGAGGTACCACTGTACTGGTATTGTCTGCGCAATCCACCAGAGCTTGGCTTTGCATGCAGGGGAAGCTCCTAAATCACTGAGGTTGAGACCCGTGGACTACCCAACCCCATTCCACCAATAATAATAATAATAATAATAGCATCAGCATTGGCATGAGGGCCGTGCCCACCTGCCCCTGCCCAGCGAGCCTACCTGTGCCTGTGCTGGTCGCGGCCCTGCCCGTGGATCAGGTACCCTCCCCCGGCGTTCTTGCCCCCCTCGCCGGCGTCCACGTGGGGGATGAGCACGTCCTCCAAGCCCAGGTCGAAGCGCTTGTGCTTGGAGGAGTCCGGCAGGAAGAAGAAGGCCCCGAAGCAGAGCGTGATGAAGGCACTGAGGATCAGCAGGAGGATGAACTTCTCCGAGAGCCTCAAGGTGGCCCTGTGGTGCGGGAACGACGACGACGACGACGGGCCCAGGTTGCGGGGGGGGATGCGGCGGCCCGAGAGCGGCAGCAGCGCCGGGGTCGTCATCGCGAAGGCGGCGGCGGCCAAGAGGGCCAAGCGAGGCCAGGCGAGACGAGGCGGCGGGTGACGGCGGCGGTTCAATCTCCGGTCGGCGGAGCAGCTAGCAGGCCTCCTCCTCCTCCTCCGCCTCCTCCCTCAGGAGGGCCGGCGCGCCGCTCCGCGCAGGGAAGCCGTCCCGGCAGCGGCTCCCTCCCGGCAGGGAGGCCCCCGCGCCCCGGCGGCCTGAGGCGGAGCGGCCGCGCTCATCCCGAGGCGGCGTCGAGGTCCGGAGCGCGAAGCCTGAGGGGGATTCACCACATGCCGGGCCTCCTCAGCGCCGCCCGCCCGCCCGCCCGCCTTCCCCTCAGAACCGGCCTCCCTTCCCTCAGGAGCCTCGGAGGGGCCGGCCGTGTGGCGCCACTGGCTCCTCGCCCCCCTCCTCCTCCTCCTCCGCTTCTCCTCCTCTCCTTCCCTCCGACGAACGTCTCTCAAGGCAGGAACCGACTCCGGAATCCTGAGGCAGAGAAGCAGGCCCCCCTCGCGCGCATGCGTGGCTCTCCCGGAGCGGAAGAGGACGCCCTCCGCTTCCCTCTCGTTTCCTGTTTCATAGAGCCGGTTAAGGGTAGAGAAGGGCTGGCAGCGGCAACGGAAGTTATTCCGGGTCTCTTTTATACCTCGGGTTAAGTAATTCGTTCCGGAGGTCCGTTCTTAACCTGAAACTGTTCTTAACCTGAAGCACCACTTTAGCTAATGGGGCTTCCTGCTGCTGCCGCTGTGCCACCGGAGCACGATTTCTGTTCTCATCCTGAAGCAAAGTTCTTAACCTGAAGCACTATTTCTGGGTGAGCGGAGTCTGTAACCTGAAGCCTGTGAAACCCGAGGTACCACTGTATTCTTCAAAGCGCTCTCGAAGAAACGGCCGCCGCCCATAGAATCTTAAGAATTGGAAGGGACCATCCGAGGGTCATCTAGTCCAACCCCCTGCAAGGCAGGAATCTGAACTAGATCATCCATAACAGACAGAATTATAGAGTCATAGAGATTTTACTTTCTGGGGCTCCATGATCACTGCAGATGGTGACAGCAGCCCCGAAATTAAAAGACGCCTGCTTCTTGGGAGAAAAGCAGTGACAATCCTAGACAGCATCTTAAAAAGCAGAGACATCACCTTGCCAACAAAGGTCCCTATAGTTAAAGCTAAGGTTTTCCAGTAGTGATGTATGGAAGTGAGAGCTGGACCATCAAGAAGGCTGATGGCCGAAGAATGGATGCTTTTGAATTCTGGTTCTGGAGGAGACTCTTGAGAGTCCCATGGACTGCAAGAAGATCAAACCTCTCCATTCTGAAGGAAATCAGCCCTGAGTGCTCACTGGAAGGACAGATCCTGAAGCTGAGGCTCCAAGACTTTGGCCACCTCATGAGAAGAGAAGACTCCCTGGAAAAGACCCTGTGTTGGGAATGATGGAGGGCGCAAGGAGAAGGGGACGACAGAGGACGAGATGGTGGGACAGTGTTCTCGAAGCTACCAGCATGAGTTTGACCAACCTGCGGGAGGCAGTGGAAGACAGGAGTGCCTGGCGTGCTCTGGTCCAGGGGGTCACGAAGAGTCGGACACGACTAAACGACTAAACCAAAACAACAAAGAGTTGGAAGGGACCACGAGGGTCATCTAGTCAAACCCCCTGAAATGCAGGAATCTTTCACCCAACCTGAGGCCTGAACCCACTACCCTGAGATTAAGTCTCTCATGCTGTACCAACTAAGTTATCAGTGATTGGGATTTAATACAATTGCACAGTCTGTGGACTTTTGGGGGTGGGTCATTGTCTTTGTTTGTTATGTGTTTATGTGTTTTTACATATTTAAATATTTTGTGGTTTTGTGTGTCTTTATGTTGCAAGCAAAGGTGTACCTAGGTTCCCTTGCACCCTTGGCAAAAAGCTGTTTAGGTGCAAGGAGAGCACATGGCTGTGTGGGTGGGCAGGCTTCCAACTACTCTGAACCAGTGGAGAGGAGTAATTTTTGCTCGCCCCCGGGCCTGGGCCCTTGGCAAGGGCCAGCCTTGCCAACTCCTAGATAAGCCCCATGGCTGCCCTGGGATCTTTGAATGAAGGGCAGTATATCAATTTAATTTTAAAAGCTAAAGTTATTCTAGCCAGCATCAACAGAAGTTTAATGTCAAGATCAAGGGAAGTAAAAGCCTTGGTCAGACCACACCTGGAATACTGTGTCCAGTTCTGGGCGCCAAACTTTAAGATGGATATTGGCAAGCTGAAATGTGGGCAGAGGAGGGCAACCAAGATGATAAAGGGTTTGGATGCCAAACTTTATGAGGAACAATCAAATCAGTTATGTTTAGTCTGGAAAAGAGGAGGCTGAGAGGATATATGATAGCTATCTTCAAATATCTAAATCAGGGGTCAGCAACCTTTTTCAGCCGTGGGCTGGTCTACTGTCCCTCAGACCATGTGGTGGGCCAGACTACCGTATTTTTCGCTCTATAAGATGCATCAGAGCATAAGACGCACCTAGTTTTTGGAAGAGGAAAACAATAAAAAATATATTCTGAATCTCAGAAGCCAGAACAACAAGAGGGATCGCTGTGCAGCGAAAGCAGTGATCCCTCTTGCTGTTCTGGCTTCTGGGGTAGCTGTGCAGCCTGCATTCGCTCCATAAGACGCACACACATTTCCCCTTACTTTTTAGGAGGGAAAAAGTGAGTCTTATAGAGCAAAAAATACGGTATTTTGGCAGGAGGGGAGGGGAATGAATGAATTCCTATGCCCCACAAATAACCCAGAGATGCATTTCAAATAAAAGGACACATTCTACTCATGTAAAAACATGCTGATTCCCGGACTGTCTGTGGGCCAGATTGAGAAGGCGATTGGGCCAGATCCGGCCCCCGGGCCTTAGGTTGCCTACCCCTGATCTAAAGGGTGTCAAATGGAAGATGAAGCAAGCTTGTTTTCTCTTGCTCTGGAGGACAGGACCCAAACCAGTAGATTTAAGTTGCTAGAAAGGAGATGCCAACTAAACATCAGGAAGAACTTTCTGACAGTAAGAGCTATTCAGCAGTGAAACGAGCTCCCATGGGAAGTGGTGCCCTGTCCTTCCTTGCAGGTTTTTGAGCAGAGGTTGGATTGCCACCTGCCATGAATGCTCTGGCTGAGGTTCATGCGTGGCAGGGAGTTGGACTAATGACCCTGGTGGTCCCTTCCAACTCTACAATTCTATGATTCTATATGTGATTCTGTCTAGCTCTAAAGAAAGCATAGCAGCAAAGAAATTGCTTCCTTGGATAGAAGAATGGCAGGTGAAGATGATGGATTTTTCGGAGCTAGCCGACCTAACCGGAAGAGTCCGCAACCAGAAGGAGGAGGATTATCAGGAAGAGTGGATTAAATTTAATGATTATTTAGTTAAATATGTTAAGTTAAATTAACTGAAAACAGCTTGCAGATACTTAATTGGCTTAGGATTTTATTTATGTTAAGTGATGAATTAATATGTTTAATTTCATAAAGTGAAGATTTAAGGATGTTAATGTTTAAGTTAAATTTTATAAGAACTGTGATTTGGGAAACCGTTAAAAGGATATGCAATGAAATTCAACCAAGGGGAAGCGGGGAAGTCACTTAACAAAGTTAATAAGTGTAATTTTCAATAAGGCTATGATTTATGTTTGTTTGTCTTATGTGTTTGTTTATAATATTGTGAAAACCAATAAAAAAAATTTGAAAAAAAAAGAAATTGCTTCCTTGGCTTATTTGTTACTCGCGTCTTAGTTTCTGAGAGTTTTGTTTTAGTGTTTTAGATTTCAGCTTAACAAACGAGCAAACACACACCGTCCACATATTGCATTGGGGAGAGGCACCTGCGGCTGAGATAATGGCTATGTATTCCAGTGTTTTACCGTCTCACTATAGGTTTTCTGTGTGTGTTATCACAGCTGACCTCTATTATCTTCTCCACAGTATCTGGTGAGGTAGATACTGATAGACAACCAGTTAATTGCCAGTTTAGAACTGTCAGCTACATATTATTAAATATACAACAGCACAGATAAACAGTGCAGGAAATAATTCAAATATTGATAGTTTCTTAAAAAAGGATTTTTCAGTGACTACATTAACAAATAATATCACCATAGCACAGGCTGGGAGGGATAAATTCCTGAAAGAGCAGTCTTTTGACTCTTAGCTGCATGTTTAGTGATTTCCTCTACACATATTCTCAATTCTATGGTTTCCAGACACCTGTACTTCCTGTTGTCTACACTGAAATATACTCAGAGTCGCAAAGTGATTTCATGCGCTTTATTCAGCTCATAGTGGTGAGGAGGAATGAATGAAAGTCCCCTCAAATATCTGCTTTATATACATTATTTACACAATGGGCTGCACATGATTGGCTAATTCTGGAATTCTACTGTAAGCCAATCAGGTTGTGGATTCACTTATATCTGGAGCATGATTGGGTGGTTCCTGCCAACCAATCATACTGCTGCATTGTTCTAGGACCAATCTGGCTGCTGCATTCTGAATCCTATTGTTCTAGGACCAATCAGACTGCTGCAATTTGGATCCTATTGTTCTAGGACCAATCAGACTGCTGCAGTTTGGATCCTATTCAACTCAGTACATAACATACACCATAGATTTGTCATTACAGACTGAGAAGTAGGGATGATTTCCGGTTTCAATACAATTTTTTCCCCCCCAACTGCAGGGGAGTGAAAGCCGTCTATGGAAATCAAGGGAGAAAGTCAGGATTTTAGTGAATGTGTGACTTGATAGCAGCCTATCTTTCCAGCAGTTCACTGTACTGTACCAGGAAAAACAGAAGTTCCTTCTCTTTGAGTTTTTTGTTTTTGCATTTTACAGTGCAACATGGTTGCATGCAAGTCAACGAAGCACAAGGCTTCTCCATTCAATTGAGTGTTAGGAGTGTTTTGTTTGAGGGGTTTGGGGTAATAAATGCAAACCCCAATTCAGACCCCACTCTGATCGACAATACTAAGACTGGACTATATAGTACGGATGGTTGTATACTCCTTTCTTTCAACTTCAGCCTGACCCTCGGTTTGCAATGAGGGTTGCACTGCACTGTTGTATACCAGCCTTAGCCTAACTCCACATCTGCAATATGCATTCTGGGCTACATTGTGGGACTGTTGTAATAAGCTGTACTGGCGTTGCAATTTGCAGTCTATTTTTTAAAATATTTGAAAAACACCCCCCCTCCACATTTCCTGAGCTAGAAAAGTCAGGAACGCCCCTTTTTCCTTGTTCGTTGGGTGGGGGAGTCAATGTGGAGGAACATAGGTAAAGGTAAAGGGTCCAGTCATGACCGACTCTGGGGTTGCGGCACTCATCTTGCTTTATTGGCCGAGGGAGCCGGTGTACAGCTTCCGGGTCATGTGGCCAGCAGGACTAAGCCGCTTCTGACGAACCAGAGCAGCACATGGAAACGCCGTTTACCTCCCCGCCAGAGCGTACCTATTTATCTACTTGCACTTTGACGTGCTTTGGAACTGCTAGG